GCCGTCTTCAGGTATGAAACAAGGCCCTCTTCCTCTGGACAAGAAAGCTAAAACAAGATATTCTTATATATTTATATATATTTATATATACTTATACGTACATCATATTCCCGCGGTCACACTGCATTGGTCATGGTATTTATTTATTTGTAATTATAGAGCTAACGAACTTTGTTAAAAAGGTGATGTCCATAAAAGAACTGTCATAATTGATATGTGTACAGGTATATATATTCCTGTTTCGGAAGATAAGAAACTATTACGAGCTAATAAATCGTACCACATGTCCCGAAACTTTTTAATTTATAACTGAATATTTTACCTTGGCGGTCAAACTATCAAATGCCTTCTCGATGTGTCCTGGCGGAAGGTAGGGTAGGCCAAGGAGCTGTTGGACGAAAACGTACAGACCCTTCTTCTCACAGTAGGTTGTTTTCAATCCAAGGGCCTGCACTTTCCGCATCACTGCCTTGGCCCAGTGGAAATAGCAGCCGGTGATGTCCACCTCCGGATATACTACCTTCACTGCGGACCACACGGCTGGAAAAAAGGATATAATCATTGTAAATTGATGAAAGATATGTGTAATCATTATCGCGCTTTTTTTTCTTTGTTACATAGGGCATTTTGATATTACATAATTTCATTTTTCGATATACATTTAGATATATCTACATTTTTTCTAAGCTATTTTCTCAATAGTTCCTTACCAGCTTCGAAGTCCATCATGATGCTCCGTACGTTAAGCGTACCAATGGCCTCGTTGATGTGGCGGAAAACCTAAGACAAGATGGATACATTTATAAATTTTGAATACATAACATTTCACAATTCTTACGGATCGATGTATTTCAGGGACGAGTAAATAAACAATGTTCCAGTGTTTGCAATTAAGTGCGATATGTATTATACGATTGAAAGTAAGAGATTTCTTTGTTTATGATCATATGGAGACGGGAGTTTAACGACACTCTAGACATGGTTATACTTACGGCTAGATAATCGATCTTGCGCATTCTCGACATAAGGATATAGATTAGGGGCACCTGCTTCATGGAATCCGCTTGCTGAATGAAGGCATGGAGGCTATAAAGCTGCACGAAGGGGCGCCGAACAACCTTAAATGTCCCATCTAAATACCACCTAAAAATTAAATATTAATTATTAACATTAAAATGTACAATATTTATTTAGGATTTTTATAACATTGTTAATGCCCTTTCGAAATGTAAATTAATTCAAATACGTTTATCATGATGAACGCAGGAAACATACCTCTTTGCGCGACGTAGGAGCTCCTGCTGCAGTGGGGTTCCAAAGATGATGTGGCGCTCCCCGTCAACGCGAATGTCACCCATGAGGCCTCGCACCCCAAGAATGCAGTGTCTATCTGCAATACATATAAGTTGTTCATCTTATTTCATGTAAGTGTATATCCAAAATATCCAATATATAAAAAATTCCAATCATTTTTTTTTTTGTCCAGTGGAGGCATTTTAAACCAATTCGTTTACCAGCATATACAAACAATTTGTGTTTACAATTCCATACCTCAAAGTCGAGATCGGTTGGCTCTTTCGGACGCAGTTTTTCTCGGACTCTGTTGGCGGCGCGCTGTATGTGCGGTGGGTTGGGCAGATTAAAATCATCGGATGAAACCTCCTCTGCCATGATGTCCTCTGTTAAGGCGCCTGCCGACCGATAGGAATGTACACGGGCCTGTTCCTTCACCTGAAAATATATCAATCATGCATTTATAATATATAGTGATAGGAGAATAGAAATGGATGAATGGATACATTGAAGATAACAGTTGATACTTAGCACGAACAAATGAATATGTTTTTTGTCTATGTACTTACAATTGCTCGCACTTTCACATAGTTCAGCATTCCGGGATCTGCTGCGTGGACGTGGGCAACCTGGCCAAACCTAAACTCTTCGCCATGCTGCAGTACACTGGCTCTGCACCACAGGGACACGCTTCTAACGCTGCACTGCCATGCCGTGGATGTCCTTGTCGTTTTCTATATAATCAAAAAATTATAATTAATTATGCGAAAGACATACAATAGCTTTCTGAAGTAAAGAAAGTAATCACTAGGACTCGATATTTCAACCGGAATGAGATACATGACAGACAGGCTTTGCACATACCTTCACCGTGTAGCTGTAGCCGCCTGAGCTGACCAGCTTCCGGCCTCCTCTCTTTGTCCCTCCCTCCACAACCTGGTATGTTACCGCGACATCTTCCACGACGGATACGTCCATGGCGGGTCCTTCGTCTAAACCACTAAAAGGCAATTACATATATTACCAACCAATAACTATAATAAGGTTTATCACTTCATGAACCGTTTTCCCACAAGATAGTATTTTTTAAAAGTCAAATACATATATTGTCAACCATGATCTATAATAGTGTTTATCACTATATGAACTGTGTTCCCAAAAGATAGTATTGTTAACAATTTCTTCATCTCACCTCTCATGGTGGACCTCCACAGGCTCCATGGGAACGTCACCCACGTTGAACGAGACGTGAAACTGCCCTCCTGGTGTCGAAGGCGATGTCGGTAGTGGTGTCCTAGGGGCGGGGGGCGGTGCTGTCCTAGGGGCAGGGATCGGTGCTGTCCTAGGGGCAGGGGTCGGTGCTGTCCTAGGGGCAGGGGTCGGTCGTGTCCTCGGGGCGGGGAACAGTGGCGAACCTTTTGGGGTGGGATTATCCAATGACTCTGTAAAATAGAGGTAAGATAGATATACAGCTTATATATTTTTACAACAATTATGAAACAATATTAACTCCTTTTCTTATTCTCTTTCCATTGTTAATGCGCAGGGTCTAACTTAATTTCTCAATCATTTAGAACTACATTCCTACCATCTATGGAGATGTCTGACGGGTTGTCAGGTTCGACACCAGCCGGAACTCCACAACCATCGCACCACCATGCAACCTCTTGTTTGTTCTTCACCAGCTGACGATACAGTTGTCTGCTGATTCCTAATAATAACATATCATACAAATATAACTAAATATATATCTATACGAAATGTATCTATACTTTTAACTAAAATATATACTTAATATATACTTAATAACTAATATGTACTTAATCTATACGAAATGTATCTATACTTTAACTAAAATATATACTTAATATACGTAATGATAATATATCATATAAATATAACTGAGGTATACGTAATGATAATATATCATATGAATATAACTGAGATATACGTAATGATAACATATCATATAAATATAACTGAGATATATATCTATACTTTTAACTAAAATATATACTTAGTGACAAAATATATCTAACAAATATAACTGAGATATACTTAATCTATACGAAATGTATCTATACTTTAACTAAAATATATACTTAATATATACTTAATAACTAATATGTACTTAATCTATACGAAATGTATCTATACTTTCAACTAAAATATATACTTAATATACGTATTGATAATATATCATATAAATATAACTGAGATATATATCTATACTTTTAACTAAAATTTATACTTAATGACAAAATATATCTAACAAATATAACTGAGATATACTTAATCTATACGAAATGTATCTATACTTTTAACTAAAATATATACGTAATGATAATATATCATATAACTATAACTGAGATATACGTAATGATAACATATCATATAAATATAACTGAGATATACTGAATGATAATATATCATATAAATATAACTGAGATATACTTAATGATAATATATCATATAAATATAACTGAGATATATATCTATACTTTTAACTAAAATATATACTTAATGACAAAATATATCTAACAAATATAACTGAGATATACTTAATCTATACGAAATGTATCTATACTTTTAACTAAAATATATACTTAATATATACTTAATAACTAATATGTACTTAATCTATACGAAATGTATCTATACTTTTAACTAAAATATATACTTAATGACAAAATATATCTAACAAATATATCTAAGATATACGTAATGATAATAACTCTTTAAGCAATCAAAGTAATACAATTTAGTAATATTGCCTACCTGTACCACAAGTTCGGTGTGTCCATCGTTCACATGTACTACAACATATCGCTTCCTGGCGAGGCCGGACAATCTTCATACACGTACGGCAGTCGTCAGACATGATGAACGCAATGAAGTTTCCATCGAAATATTGCTCCATATATGACAAAATTATTCTATTCAAGTTGCCGACTGTCTGTTTAGTTGAAATCATACACATTTGCATCTTCACACATGGAAGATCGACAAAGATCGATTTCAACAAGATGTGATGACAAAAAAAATCAACGTCTGTCATCAAATAAAAGTAAAAACAACGTCGAAAGACTATACAGCCATGGTGTTTACACGGCGTTTTCTAGAAGCCATACAGTTAAACAAAAGACAGTGATTGTAATGTGTCTTAAATAGCAATCTTACTCCGTATGTTACACAGGTGTATTTTGTTTAGACAACATGTAAAATGAAAAGACAACAAATGTGAAAAAAATAGTTTTATTTATTTAAAAAAACTAACATGAATTATCCATTATATAAATAAATTTAACTTAAAATTTAATTCCAAATAAACATAATAATATACAATATATGAGGCCGGAACGACTAAGTATACGGGGCCGGACCGGGAAGGGGCCGGAACTACTAAGGTCGGAACGACTAGGGACGGAACAACTCGGGGGCCGGAACGACTTGTATTCCAAGATTTACCTACCACCATTCGTATCAGTTTTACGACTGCTTTGTTATCACGTTGTTTAACTTGTGATCGATTAAGATAAAACAAACAAGCCAATCGATGAGGAACCTATTTGTGTACTGCGTCAGTACTATTTTTGTCATTAAACCCGATCCGGTCAATCCCTGTGTTCTGTTATTCAAGGTCATAATTCACGTCTTTAGTAAGACCCCTGCATTAAAACCAAAACAAATATGGCTGCTGTATGTGTTGCTGTATTGACTGTCAACTGAAAGTCCGACTGCTGAGGATATACCGATCGTTCTTCTTAATTCTCGTTGACTACAAAATTTGGGTAAGTGTTATTTTGACATTTTCATCAACCTATTTAATGGTCCAGTAGTGATTAAGCTCGTAATTTCCTCGTTGACATTCTACTGCAGTCAACTGACCTGGTCAAGAACGTGACATGTCACAGAATAATCAACTGATAAGTGTGTTATAAGTTATATAGACAGGGTTTACTAAAAAAAAGAGTTAGTGACAACAATAACTTTCTGTCTTGCTGTTCTTAAGCATGGTCATCAGATTAATTCCTAATTGGGACTTGCAGTGTTAATTAACAGGTTGGGCACAACGGCGCATATGGGTAATAATATAATCTTGCAAAAACACATAAAGTTCTTTTTTAAACACCTGGAGCAAAAAAGGCCGTCATTCTTTCAACATAATCCAATAAAATATAGAATGAGGTACGTGTACAATTGTGCACATAAATATGTTAATTAAATTGTCTAAATCTTTGTGAAAATGACAAATTGTATCACCTCCATTAATATATTGCTTATAGTGTGTTGTAGAGCAGCTATAGATAGCACTGCACACAGAAAAAATCATGCTCACCTGTTTCATTTGCTCTTGATGATCCCATCGATTACACACTGAAGTCAATGGAGAGCAAAGTCAGTGGTATGGTTTGTCAGTTGTACATTTAGCTCACTTGGTCCAAAAGGACCAAAGTGAGCTGATGCCGTGGTGCATGTCCTCTGTCCGTCGTCTGTCTGTCATTTTTTTTCCTTTAAAAGACTACTAGCTGGACAGATTTTGACCATATTTGGAATGGAGAACCCTTTGGCCAAAAGGGTTCATTGTAACATAAACAAACTTGGTAAAATAGTGGTATACATGTATGTTTAAAGACTACTAGTCATGAACGGCTTAAGGGATTTTAACCAAATTTAGTATGGCGCATCCATTGGCCAAAAGGGTTCTGCATCGTTATATAAATGAAGTTGGTATTCCCTCTGGTTGCAGAGGGGTAGGGCCAAGTTGGGCAAATAGTGGTATATGTTTAAAAGACTACTAGTCAAGAATGGCTTGAGGGAGTTGGTATATATATATATCCCTCTTGGGGGCAGAGGGGCGGGGCCCAAGTGGGGTAAATCCACCAAATGCATGTAGCTCCTTACACAGGCATCATTAAAACTTTCTCCAATAAGACAATAGACTCTTGAATGTCATGAGTGGCTGCTATCTAAGAGAAACCTGGACTTGTCCATTCACAGAATACCCACCCAGTCTCAGCAATTACAGTGCAATTAAATGTCTTCTACACCAAGCCAAACATGCTACACAATGGTGTATTAGCAGAACTTAAAGGACAGGTGTACGTCTCTGTAAAATATGCTGTTCACGTAATCGATTCGGTACTGTTCTGGTGCTGATGGCATGCAATCCAGGAATGGTTCGCGCTTCCAGACTTGCAGTTTGGAAGTGATTCTGGATATGGTTGTCATGACGTCACGCGTGGACGACCTGCATGTGGTCAGTCTATGATGAAATTGTTGAAATCTTCTCCGCAAAGCTTGAATAGTGTTTGTGTGGACACCAAACTGCGTAGCAACAGCGCGATGGAGCATACCAGCCTGGATCATTCCAATTGCGCGAAGGCATGATGCAGTCATTTTTATTTAGACTTGGCATTGCTCTACAACCATTTTTAACAGAAAAGAACAAAAGCGTGCAAAGCGACACATCTCCAAGAAGCGAAAATTATCGCCTCATGTTGAAGATTTGATCATGAAGAACCAAGACAATGCATTTTGTGAAACATTTCTAATCTATGTAAAAGCTTGATGAAGTTATATCAAATATGAAGAGAAACATGTAGTATAACCAGAGACGTATAAAACTGAGTATCCCTGCACATGTACTCTTTGGTATGAATGTCTGCCATCACCTCTAAGATGTATGCAAGATTGGAGCTTTTGAATGAGATTACAATGTACCTCTGGGATATATACACAAGTTTGAAAATTCAGACATATTACCTGAAGTCAGCCAGTGATTTAAACCACTTTACGAAGATGATTTTATTACATGTACATATAAAAGTCTTTAATATATTGTCAACATAAAATTACTGGAATCATTTTACTGCTGACACTAGTTTTTAGAAATATATAATTCAGACCCCTAATTTCCATGTGCTCATAATCTGTTTTCCATTTAATTATCCTGACATATCTTGACAATATATACATTGCAGATATATCGCAAATATTGTTGCCATACAAGTGTGTCTGACAGTACATCACTGACAACAAATATTTGTCATGACTTATATACGTAATCTTATCATTTCTGTGAGTCAGTTTTTCTGTATATACATCTAAATTTAGAAGAAAAAACATCAAATTATCAATGTCAAAAATCCCACAAACGTATGTTTTTGTATTACGTGCCATAATATTAATGCTTTTTTTATTTTAAAAATGTCAAAATTATCAAATGGCAGACATCTCCTGCAACAAGCATATGCATAAATATAACTTTCTCAATATGTTAGTCTTTATAAGCGACTAAACACCTCCAGTGTACCTAAGCTTAACATCATTTATTTAATTCTGTTATTGTATTTCCATCTTAACCACTCTACATGTTTCTTCCTACCGGCAGCAATTTCGTAGACCAATCAATTAATTATGACATCACATAACAACAGTTCATGTCAGCATCTTCCTTGGTGACGTCGCGATATGTGGTTATTGTTTCACCAATGGGGTACAGGAAGCGTGTATTCCCAAGAGAAATTAACATATGGTTTTCAAAAATAAGATATGATCGTCATGGGAGAAAAAGTCCCAAAAACTTCTGATGGCTGGTCATTATGGTCATCGAAATTTCATTAGTTAATTCTTAAGTCGTAAAAAAGACAATGAATAAACCTTGTGTCTTGTGCAGAATTTAAAGCAGTACATTAGAAGCCTGACTTTGTGTATTTATGAAATTAAAGATACAAGTACTTATACGATTGTCGTAAAGCTGAAGAAAAAAAAAGGTCAATCCCATCATCAATGGTTAAGGTGTTTAGATGGTCCATTGTTTTTCTTTCTTTTGCATGAAGTTTATTTGGTAATTATCTAACAAAAGAACTTGAACCAATTATCCATGTATGAAATAACATCACCAACAGGTGGCCATCTTGAATATTGAGAGTTAAAGTTTGTTAGTGCTATTTTATTTCTCGGAAAGCACTTGTGGGTATCATTCTCAAATTTCACATGAAGGTTCCCCATATTCCTTAAATATGCATATCAAATTTTAGGGCTGATTAGTAAACCAAGATGGCCAACAGGTGGCAATCTTGAATTTTGAGGAGTAAAGTTTGTTGGTGCAACCTCTCAGAAAGTAACTGAGAGATCTTTCTGAAATTTCTCTTGTAGGTTACCAATAGTCCATCATTGTGCATGCATGATTTATTTTGAGACTTAATGGCCACCAGACCCCCATCTTGAATTTTGACAGTTTAAGTTTGTGTAACAGGAAAGAGAGTAGTCTCATATTTTGCCAGTAGTGTGATGTGCTGTAGTGTTACCAAATTTGTTCGAATGAATGAACTTATCAAATTTCAAGGTTGCAAAGGTCAAATGTGTTAAAACAATAGATGTGTAACTAATGGTAGGTAGAATGATAACAAAAAATCACTGCATAGTTTTATCAAACAAATGACTTTGACACACTTTCAGTGTCACAGAGTCAAATATTTACCAATATATATATGCCTAGATTAATGATATTTAGCCAGTAACATGCAAGGATGAAGTGCTTTAAGTTTATTCAAATGAATGACCTTGACCGCCTTTCAAGGTCACATAGTAAAATAAATAAAGGGACCAAAAACATACAGTGTAGAAAGAACAAATAAAAGTCAGATGTGTGATTCAGGCTCTTTTATATATAAGTTTTAACTACCACATTCTTTTCACTTTACCATATATATATATATCTATACATATGTACATGTATATTACCTAGGAAGCGTTATAAATATCCCTATCAAAATAGTTGTAGTTCAGTTACCGGTATACTGAATATGTTGCTAGATATGCTGGAGTATTATTTTTTATGCGAAATGTAGTAAGAAGTTTTTATCATTTGTTATATCTGCGTATCGTTTTTCAAAATTATATTTTTCTTCTCTGCTGCAAGATAATTAACAGATGTTTAATTGTGTGTGGGTTTTTTTGTTATTTGCATCTGGATAAAGTGGATGGATATAATAATATTGACAGCTACTACATGTATGTCCTCGTTTATATTTGTTTGATATTTTATTACAGGTATACTACAATGTGCACTAATTAAGAAGATGGAGACATAATTGTTGTTACCATGGAGACCACAGCACCTTCTCTCCTTCACTGTCCTTCAGAATATTCCGAGTGGCAGTGTTTACCAGATAACATACTACTACACATCTTCTCATACTTACCAGCCTCCTCTGTCCTTCAGGCTTCAATCACATGCAGGTATGTAGATGAAAGGTCAAATGCCTTATATACGCGGTAGATGTCAACTGACAGGTTTGCTTTTTAGGAGTGTGTGTTGATAGGATGCTGGTATGGTAACATGATATGTCATATTGTACATGTGACTGAATCATGTAACCATAAATAACATGTGAAAGGAAGGAAGGTCATGAAAATGGATTATTCTGTGCATGAACAGAATATCAATTAATGGTTTCTGTATATTAAAGGAAACACACAAGTTATTTAACTTTTTTCTCCCACTCTGGAACAACACCTGCAACAACAAGGTACAAGCAAGCACAATTTTTTGAAGAACTATAACATGATATGTTCTGTCAATAATTAAACTTATTTTCTCTATAACACTTTTACAATAACAAGTGGGCAAGACAGGCCCCTTGGGACTCTTGTATACATCGTATTTAAGTGACAACTATGTTAGTGTAGTAGAATATTATTCCACTGTATCCATGTGAAGCTCTTTAAAGTGGCCCCATCATCGGTGGAAAATGTCTTCATATAACCTTAGCTGTTGCATTAGTATGCTAAACTCTAAACAAATTAAACAAACATTGAAAAATTCTTTTAATTTGAATATTCCATACAGATTGTATGTTATGTCATGAATTTCAACTATGTGATATGCTCACTGAATCTTTTTTCAGGTGTTGGTATAGAGTAAGCAATGACGAGTACTTGTGGAGGTCCATGTTTTACCGTCACTGGCAGATTGACAGATCTGTCCCCATTGCACCCGGCAGAACATCCTGGCTACAGGAGTACAAACGTTTATACTACCGCACACCCGTCATTGAGAGTGAGGTCATCCGACAGCACAGTGATCAGGTCCTCCACGTCAGCTTCTCTCATCACGGCAAGATGTTTGCCACTTGTTCAAAGGACGGCTATATACGGGTATGCATGTTCAAGATACTACTGTTCACCAGGAAATTATTGCAGCAGTCTAACTTTCGCCTTTTTCGCCCTCTACAATGAATTAGGCAAATTTATCATCAGAGCAAATATTAGTACACATACTTTGTATTGTATCTACATGTGAAGGGTGAACTTAATGCTGGCCGAATATGTATTGCACCGGTGAAGGATGAACTTAACGCTGGCCAAATATGTGTTGCACCGGTGAAGGGTGAATGTTTGACCCGGCTTTCCCCGTTTAGTACCATACATCATGTGTATACTGACTGTTGTGTTTCGAAACATATACTCCTGCTTTCATTAATTGCATTCATGAAATCTGTATTAATTATAATACAGAGTGATAGAGTGAAAGTTTTATTTTATATGTGTTTGTTCATATATGCNTGGTTTTGGGTGATGTTCCACAGGGCTATAAATGTGTAATTACTTGACAATGTACTTTAAGCACTATTAATTATATATCTGCCACCTTTAGTTTTCCAGCACAGCTCAGTTTGAAATCTTCTGTTTATGATCACATGGCATGCACAACGACCTGATGTGATTATGCAGTGTCCTGTCAACTTTTTCTATAACCTTTTACAGAAACAGGAGGCCTAGTCCCATGATTTTACCTTGAATCTATACTTGAGCATCCTTTTAGTTTATCCTTGAATGAAAAAAATCAGCTGGCATAGTACATACTTGCCAACCCTCCCTATTTAGGAAGGAGACTCAATATTTGACCCTAAAATTTAGCATTTTCAACTTGTGAATTTCCTCAACTATTCTTAATTTCTAAGATCTGCTGATTTCATTTGAAAGAACAGCTCAAAAGACGCCATTTAAAAATGTTTCTTTTCCCCTTGGTTGTACATACACACATCATATTTAAGCTTTTAATTCTAACCACGTGTAATCTCCCCTATGGAATTTTCAAAAAGTTGGCAAGTATGATATTAAGCTAAACACAAACTGGGGAGGGGGAAGTGTATGGTCATCATGACAATTAAATAATAATGCCAGTCATGATTACAAGAAAAAATTGTGTAATACCATTATGTAAATCATGTAAGTAACAGCTAGTTGAAAACTGTTTGCTGACATGTATGGTAGAAGCTGAATATACCCGACATGGGATCTGGATAATGTATATATATACATGTGTATGACCTTTGACATTTAAATGAACAACTACCTGATGGACATGATTTGACCTTTTGACCTTTTGACCTTGTAGGTATGGAATGCTCTGTACCCAGTGACTTTGAAGTACAAGGAGGATATGAAGATGTTGACCTGGAAGTACACACAGTTTTCACAGTTTAATGAAAGTGACACACTTCTTCTGGTATCAGGGGTCCACTTTGGTGCCAATAGCACATCAGGAGAGATTGCTGTGTTCAGTCTCAAAGGTAACTGTCAACCTTCACGGCACTTTCCCTTTATATGTACTTTTACAAGTGATTACGAATAATTATTGTACAGACACAAAGCATTAAAATGACACCAATATTTCAGTCATTGACATATATATATATATGTATTTACACTGATCTGGGAAAGATCACTATATAGAGACACAATATTTCCCTGTAACTTGATATATTAAAATGGTCATGTGTACAAAATAGAATTTTAAACAAAAAGTTAATGACAGCTCGAAGGTCTTTTGATATTTCATTAATTTAATTAAGTTACTGTAAAACCTATCTTGGTACATTGCAGGCGAGTTTGAGTTGCAGGCTCGTGTGATAAACAAGCCGTACGACGTGTTTGGGACGTGGTATAATGACCAGTACCTGTTGTCTGGCAACCTTTACTGGACTGGCCAGCTACAGTCCTGTTCTACACTCTGTCTCAACAAAGCCTCACAGGAGACCGAGTCAGAGCATGAGTCTGTGATGATGAAGCTGTACCGCTTCTACAACATCAACGCCAGCTCCATTCGTACCATAATGGTGGCCGATTATTCCCAGGAAACCAACTACAACTCCGACGATGATGTGGCTAATGGTCACATGTCCAAGTGTACACCAGGGGCTAACATGATTTTGGACAACAATAAACGAGCTGATGATGATGTCATTGAGCAACAGGAACCTGTTGAGGAAGACCCAGGCTGCGAGCTTGTAGACACTCCAAATGTACAGGGAGCTATGGGTGGTGCTGTTCGCCACCTCCAGAGTGTGCAAGTTTATGAAAATGGTGCATTTCAGAATAGACTGATTCAGCTGGATGAGGACGAAAATAATGATCGACGCAATGGGACGATAGAGTATGGTCAGGACTATCGCCAGGCACAGGACCAAATTCAGTTTGTCCTGGATTCAGAACAGGCAGATTCAAGTACTGGCACACAGCCCAATGCCATGGTAACAAGCCAATCCAATAATAATAGGGTTTTGTGTAATAAAGACAAAAAAAACCTTACAGGAACCAAACCAACATGCCAAACAAATGCTATGCACAGACATTCTGATACCATGACAACAAGCCAACCAGATTGTGTAGAAATGTATAGTCTGCCAGATGCTATGGTAACCAGCCGTGTCAGTGACAGTCTGATGACAAACACTATGCCTGTATACAGTGGCTGTAACCAGCATAGTAGCCATGAATTTGTGAGTAGTGACAAGAAGGAAGCTTGTCGCGAAGAGAGGAAGTATGGGGAGAAGATGTTACAAGATGAGGAGGAGGAGGAGGACGAGGGTAACTGTCAGGACTTCTGCCACTCTGGGATATATATGGATGGCTCAGTGTACGGCTCTCCCTTACGGTCCCAATACTTAGCCACACAAAATGTCGCTACGGACAAAAACTCAACCAAGTACTGTGTAGTAGGAAGCAGTGATATCGGTAGGTCAGATAAGGATCACAGTGTCGACAAACCTCCCTCCGAGAAAAAAGCGAACCTGGTAAGAGACAAGTACCTTGTGTTCACAATGGGTTCAGAGACATATACACCCCATCAGATAGGCATCAAGCGTATCAAGTCGCTGGCAAATGTTGCAGGTTCCAATTCCACGTTGTGTCTTATACCCAATGTTGACGAACAGCCTGAAGAACCCGCAGAAAATCAGCCACACGACAGTGTGGACAAGATTATTGACATGCATGGCCACATCATTGGCATGTGCTTCTCGCCAGATAACAGGTAAATATTCAAGTTGATATAGTTTCTTTGTGAGAATATGACTCCTTGAACAAGGGTACAAATTGGAGGTTAAAAAAAGTCCATGCACATGTACATAATTGTGTATACTAATGTTTATAACTAAAAAAGTCACTTCGCATGTTAACTAATTTCTATAAATAATGTTTACAAGAAGAAGTAATTTGAGCATGTTTACATTCGCTCACCAGCTCGAAGGGCTTTGTTAATTAGTTAATCTGTCATCTGTCCAGCCACTTTTCCATAAAAATGCTGCTAGTCCTGAACAACTGGGTGGATTTTGACTAACTTTTGACTCAATGTTGTTCAGACAAAGGGTGTGTTCCCCAGCAGGCAAAGGACCAGGTTTTGTAAGTGAAATAAAGTTATTTTTTTCAAAAACTTCCTTCAATACTACTAGTAGAGGAAGTTTGAGTGAATTTAATCTAAAGTATTTGTGTGCCAATAAAGGGGATTCAGTGTTGTATACACTTATATAATAGCTATATAGGGTGTTGCACACCTAGGGGCAGTGTACATGTGGCAGGGTCCAATAGGTGAAATAGAAGTAAATCTTCCAAACCTGTCTTGTTTCGTACCTTTGAAGAGGATTTTCATATAATTTTCTCTGGAGCATCCATGAGTCAGTTAATCATTCTGTATGAACAAATTTAAGAGTATGGCTTTATCTTGTGGGGTCAGAGGGATGGGGCCTGAATTATGAATTAATAGCCTTTTTGTCTCGAAATCCTACTCTTGATAAATTATTTCATGGATTGACACCATATATTAGTTCAAATCAAATATTTATCGAGCAATATGATCATATTTTATTTATTCCCATGGAGCTAAACTATTCCAATAAAGGATGTACTACTGTTCTACTGAAAATTTTATCCAGATTAATGTTGCCATTATATAACAACACACCTACATAATACGCATAAAGAGACAAAGACATCAGTGCTACAAGGATTGGCCAGGGTTCCAGCCCTGCATTCTTGAGACTTAGTTCCTGCATCACATATCTTAGACATTGATGAGATCCCAATGTATTTTTGTTGCACATTCAGAGATATAACTTATACAACAATCATGCTTATAGAATCAGTCTCAGGGTCAAGCCCCGCCCCAGAGGACTTTGTCTCTGGTCATAACAAGGAATGGATCAAGTTCCTCAACCCTTAATAATGAATCGCTAGACATAAAGAGACACAGTTATGCTACTAGGATTGTTTCCTGGATCCAGCCGCTCCCCTGATAATTGCTAAGCATGAAAAACGAATACATATACTCATGCTATCAGGCTGTCGGTATCAATTGTTGTGTAAAAGAAGAATGTACATGTATACATAGTTCCCCTGCGGGGCGAAGGGTGAAGTTCTTGTACATTTGTGTATTTCAACCAAATTTATTTTGAAGTATCCTTGTGACCAGAAAATGAAATGTTTCATAGTACTGAAAGGCAAAACCAAAACAAGAAATAATTGTAAAATTACCTACATATAAATTAATGGATATATTTTGCCATGATTGCTTAAAAATTCAGGGAGGAATACGAGCCCTCTCACTTCTTGGTCAACAGGACAACATGCAAAAGGACATGTATGTAAAAAATCGAATCACATGTACAATTGGAAATAAGTACCAGGCAAACTTTGAGCTTTTGTTAGGTTGTTTGATGTCAGCAGGGTTTCTGGTTGCTGGATACCACTCTAGATAATCTTAACCACTTGTTATGATAAATTGATAATTCACTAATAATTAATTATAAATCTTGGCAGGGCTCAATTATCTGCTAAATGGTTCCAGCTCTAAATAAGTTTCAAGTACACTTTTGATATTCAGCTGTAGTAGGATTGCAGAGTAACTTAATAACTTGTCACGGAAGTTGAAGCAAGTGTAACCTAATGAGGAACGCTTTGTTTTCAGATACCTCTACGTAAACAATCGACCCTGGCCTAAGAACTATTCAATTGAGAATCCTCTGTATCCACCACCCATAGCCCAGGAGATTGACATCCATGTTATAGACCTACTCAAGATGAAGGAAGTAGGCACAATGCACCGCTCACACAAAGCCTACACACCAAATGATGAGTGCTTCTTCATCTTCTTAGATGTTTGCAAGGATTATGTGGCCAGGTAATACAAGAGGAACAAGTCCCACAGCCACTGTCAGGCCTGTCACTTTGTGGTAGGAGGATGAGACCTGGACCAGGGGGATTTACTTGAAGTATGCCCTCCCAACCCCCACACCTCAGGGAGGCATAAGAGGTGGAGCCTAATAGGGGAAATTAGAGACAATAGAATGGTTTGTCCCCCTGGGGGTAGAGGGACAGGGCCAACTAGTGGTTAATCTTTATTATCCTTTAACTAATAACAGAAGAAGAAATTTAGCCGTATTTGGTTTAAAGGATCTCTTGGCGTAAAAGAATTGGTTTTTTTTTTATAAAGGAAGCTGTAACGCGTTGTGATTAAAGGGGNATTTGGTATAAATGATCACCGGTCTAAAGAGGACTTAATTTTGAATAAACAAATGATGTGGCTCCCCTGGAAACACCGGTGGGCCAAATAATTGTAAATCTTTCTTTATGTTTTAAGACTACTTCAGTACAAATGAAAAGATTTTAATCTCATCACTGTGTTAAATTATAGTCAAAAGTGTTAATGTATTCATGTGGGCCCATGTGTATTTATAAGGGTTCAAATGTACACATTTGTGTTAATGTTTGTCCATGTGTGGTCCTGTGTTCATGTATTATCAGGTGCGTTCATGTGTGTTCATATGCATTTATAGATAATAATGCTTATATATATTATATTTTATTTATATTCATGTGCATTTAAGTTCTATTTCTCATGATTCAAAAAAATCTTGGTTAATTGTCAGAATCATTGTATTACTGTTATGTTTTATAGCTCCTTTTTCATCAATAAGATCAATGCTCGGTAATTTTGTGTTTCAGTGGAGCAGAAGACCGGCACGGTTACATATGGGATCGTCATTATGGTGTGTGCTTGGCACGCTTCCCTCACACTGATGTTGTCAACTCCGTGGCATTTAACCCACGGGACACAGAGACTCTCGTCACAGTCAGTGACGACTGTTCCATCAAGGTGTGGAGGTCAAGGTCACGGGAACATGAGGTCAAAGTGGACAATTTACCTAGTCTGTGTACACAGTCTTAAATCTGCATTGTGTGCAATTGACAATATTCTCCTTATAAAACTTGATTATAAGGCGATATCTACGAAATGATTCAAGTTTGTGAAATTTGTGTCTATTTTCTAAAGCCATATCGACAATACAATTATGATGACAAATTTTTGATAAGACACATTTAGTTAATATGTGTCAATTCACCTTAAAGTATCCTATTGATAATGGAGTTAAAGGGACAATTTAGTGAAGTAAGTTTTATTCATAACCTTGTCACAAAACTCTTCATGATTATATACATGTAGCTTGATACTCCCTATGAACAATTCAGGTCGTGAAATTGACAAGAGACAACGTTTTTTTGGCGTTTTTAATCCATAATGGAGAAATCCTTAACTGTACAGCCGTACGTTTTAGCGGCAGCTGTTGGTGAATTTTTAGCTAACAAAAATGTCTTTGCAGTCGAGGAGAGAAGGTAACTTCTCGCTTTATTCGCCTAGACTCTCTAAATCTATTTTGAATCAAAATCATCTACCAACAGCATCTAAAACATTGTTATAAATAAGTGATCTATTTTACGTTTAAACCTATTGATATCATAATTTCTGCAGTTTGAAATTCTCCCCTCGGCACCCTCTCAGTGCGTGCATGCTCTAATTGAACCTGTTCATTCTTATTCAAATCCAAATGGAAATGGGTATTGTGTAAATTCAAGAATGAGTTATGTGTGAACTCAGACTTGTATAAATGACACTGTGTTGTCGGTCGACAGCATAGGCCTAGTGTGGCTGAACATGTTTACTTCTTACTAAAAGGCCCAGATATTTCGGTCGTAGCTATTTTGATCACCGGCTTTCCCAAAAGATGAAACTGACCACACTGGACGTTGGCTTCAGGTCATGTCTTTATCAACTACGTAAACTTTCGTTAGGAGATATATATTTTCAGTATCGACTTGATTTTCAGGTAATCAAAAAAAGTTACTTCACTAAATTGTCCCTTTAAGGTACGAGAAATATAAAGCATGTTGAGCTAGTACATGTATGTCAGCGTGAGGATGGTGTATAAACTAGAGTCTATGACACACATGTTCCAATGCCGCAGATTGATATCATCTTATCACTGTAAAAGAATATTGTAATTATTCAGTTGCATTTATTTATTATGTGGAAAATGGTGAGAAGAAATCCTGCTTTGAATCTGTATTTTTAGGTCACCTGAGCTTTAGCTCAAGTGACCTATTGCTATCCGTTTTCGTCCGTCGTCGTCCGTCGTCCGTGAACATTTTACATTTCAAACTTAAAGTCAAGTTCTGCTGGGCCGATTGAACTGAAAGTTGGTAGGAATGATCGCCTCATGGTCCTGACAAAGTGTTGTTATTTTTCGGGTCGATCAGAAATCCAATATGGCCGCCACGGCCGCCATTTTGAAAACCTATTTCAAACTTAAAGTCAAGTTCTGCTGGACCGATTGAACTTAAAGTTTGTAGGAATGATCGACTCATGGTCCTGACAAAGTGTTGTTATTTTTCGGGTCGATCAGAAATCCAATATGGCCACCACGGCCGCCATTTTGAAAAACTATTTCAAACTTAAAGTAAAGTTCTACTTGGCCGATTGAACTGAAACTTTGTAGGAATGATCGACTCATGGTCCTGACAAAGTGTTGTTATTTTTCGGGTCAATCAGAAATACAATTTGGCTGCCATGGCCGCTATTTTGCTACTAAGTTCTAATAGGCCGATCTCACTTAAAATTGGTCTAGGAATGATCAGCTCATGGTCCTGACAAAGTTTAGTTAACATTATACTATTTTTTACTCAAATTGGTACATATTTCAACAACAAAAATAAATATTGTAGGACTCAGGTAACCGTTAAGGCCCATGGGCCTCTTGTTTGTTATCTATTCAAGTTGCCAATAGGATAAAGACAGAACCAGACAAATACCATTTTGATTTGATTCTTATTAGCTCACCTGGCGCAGCGGCCATCATCAATTTCCTTTAAAAGATTTCTTCTGAAGAACCAAAAGACTTAAGCTTAGAGTCCTGCTATTTGGCTGGTACACTGTAGCTTCCTAGGTTGGAGCCCAACAAAGTTTGCTAACAAAAAAGACCTTGGCCTTCTTTCAAGGTTAGCCTCCTTACTGCCCGATGGGACTTAGTCCTGGTAACAGCTTATATTTTTGGGCTATTTGATTAATTGTACAGTAGTCAACAGGTTTGAAATTAAAATAGAAAATTCCAAGTGAGCTATCAAGGCCACTGAGCCTCTTGTTATGCTTCTGCAAGTGAACACTGTTGTCTATACAATGTACATCTAGTTGTTGACTTACAGTTACACTTGTTTGTCAATAACTGAAGCTTGCAAACGTCTGTCTGTAAGAACTAAATACTGAAGCTTTGTCAGTTCTTCAGTTCAATTGATACAAAATAAGAGGCACAAAGGGCCTTAATCGCTCCCCTGGTATTAATCTAACACCAGTGAGTTACCATATTAGAATGGGCTAAATTAAGCAACAATCCAAATGTTAGAAAAAAATTGTTTCCAGACGGTTTTACTGAAGTAAACATTTGATCCCTATGACCTTGAAAGATAGTTAAGGTCATGTATTTGAACCAAGTTTGTAGCCCTTCATCCCAGTTTGCTAATTTTCAGATATCATCTCTCTGGGTCTTTTTAGTACATGTATTGAGAAGATTTTAACTTATTTCACCCCAGTGATCTTGAATGTGGGTCAAGGTCATTAACTTGAATAAAGATGGAAGCTCTTAATCCCAGCATGCTGTTAGGCAAACATCATCATACTATGCCTTTTGGTTATGAAAAAAAATAGTGGCCAGCCGGACGACACACCATGCAGGTAGCACTTAATTCACTTGCGCAGACTACTGGCAAGATATCATCAACCTCGATTGTTTTTTGGTTGTTCAGGATTGTTTAAATATTTTCGATCATTTCACCCCAGTGACGTTGAAAGAGATTTAAGGTAATTCGTTTGAACAAAATTTAATTTGTAGCCATTCATCCCAGCATGCTACTGGCGAAATATCATAACCCTGGGTCTTTTGGTTATTTAGAAGAAGCTGTTTAAATATTTCAACATATTTAACCCTGGTGGCCTTAAAAGTGGGTCAAGGTGAGCTAAATGAACTTGAGTTTTTTCTTTCTCTTCTTTTCCCTGTTTTTCAAATAGTTTAAATATTGTTTAGGGCCCCGTATCTGATACGGGGGCCCTCCAGTAATCACTCTGTCTGTCTTGTCTGTCTGTCTGTCTACAAATTTTGTTCCTGTCTGATAACTTTGGTATTTATTTACATAAAACTTGGAAAGTCAAGGTCAAAGGTCAAGGTCATTAGGTTCAAAGGTCAAGGTAAAATTTTGCATCTTTTCACTGATGAACATTTTGTTATGACATTATGAAGCAAAGTTGATCAGAATTAAACAAGGAGTCAACTGACTTGAGGTCAAGGTCACTGGGTCAATGTCAAGCTAAAATATTGTATCATTTTACTGATGAACATTTTATTTTTATGTTATTATGAAGCAAAGTTATTCAGAACTTAACACAGCATCAACTGACCAAAGGTCCAGGTTACGGGGCCAAAAGGTTCAAGGTCAAGTTTTGAATTTTTCACTGATGAACATTTTGTTAAGATAGTATGAAGCAAAGTTGGTCGTAATTAAAAAATAAATCCACTCACCAAAGATCAGGGTCACTGGACTAAAGGTCGAGGTCATTTGGGTCAAAAGATCAAAGACAAAGTGGATCTCTTAATTTGACCCTGGATGAGGTTGGGGAGGTTTTTAAGATGAAATAAAATAAATCAAAGCTAACAAATGAGTATTGCACTGGTATTGACATTTCTGTTAGCCCATTAAATATGTACATGTATATTTTGCTTCCTTGCAATTCTTTTTTAAGTCCAAATGTCAAACATCAAGCTCAGCTATATGGGCAGGATTATGGGAGGTATATTGCCACAAGACGGGGCCCTTACTGACCTGTCAGTGTTCTAGTTTGTTTGGTTAAAATGGCCATGATTTGTCCACTTTATACCTTATAAACCTTAAAAGTGGCCTAAAAAATACTACTGGCACATGTAAGCCTTGCCAAAGCTCTTTTAGGGTGTTCAATTACTAGACCATCGCAATGCCTATCCATTTCTTATTTTAACATCTGTGGTCTATCTGATCTTTCATCTACAGTAAGATTTTAAACAATATGAAATTTTAATACCATGCAGGTATTTGATATATCCATTTCTCATAAATTCAAAGATTTAAACATTTCATGTAATAAGAATAAATTCTCGACCCAAAATATTTAGGTTTTGTTATTCCTGGAGTGTAAGCCTGCCTTGTTGTGATACGTAAGTAAGTGTTGGATCACCCTTAATTACGTTTTCCTAGAGTGAAATATCATGACTTTAAAAGCATACAGCAATGTTCATATAAGGTTATAATTATGCAATGTGTGTATTTGGTACTTGCCACACCTATTCTCCAGTAAAATATACCATACAAAATAAAGATGTGTAGCTGTACCTCTACAACATATGATCATTTAAACATTTGCATTTTTTTTAAAGTGCAATCTGTACAGATGTATAATTCGATAATTCTGAACAGGATTGCAGAAGAATTTAATCTTTCAATCAGCAATATCTTATTCAGAATGATCCGACTGATATTTATAAAAAGTTGTTATTTTTAATTAACTTATATACTGTTTTCTGGTCACCTGAGCTTTGCTCAAGTGACCTATTCCGATTACTTTTCGTCCGCCATCGTCCGTCGTGCGTAAACTTTTTACATTTTCAACTTCTTCTCAAGAACCAGTTGATGGAATTTTTTCAAACTTGGTCAGAATCAAATTGTAAAATTGGGATTCTTACCCCAACCCTAGGGGCCATGGTGGGGCCCCAAAGGGAAAATTAACCAATATTTCAAAAATCTTCTTCTCCAGACTCAGAGGTACCATAGTGATTTTCTCTGCATGGATGGAAAGATCATCAAGGGCTTTATTTAAATTGTCAATTTCAGGACCCCTGAGCTGCCCGTTCCCCCTTGGGGTGGGGGTAAAATTTACTATAGTTTATATAGGGAAATAACACTTTTGGGTATATTTTATCCATTTTCAGCAGAAAATTATTCAAACTTGGTCAGAATCATCTTTTGTGGATGAGGGTATTACATTATTAAATTGGAATTCCTGCCCCATCCCCAGGGGCTGGGGCGGGGCCCCAAAGGGAACATTTACAAATATTTTAAAATTCTTAACCTTTGATGACATGACAAGTATTGTATTTCACTTAGTTTACATGCTGATTTCCACATCACATCTTAACAATAAAATAAAGCTACCAGTACCTATGATATAACTCAGGTGACCGCTAAGGCCCTTGGGCCTCTTGTTTACGTACATATCAGTATCCTTTGTTTTATTCTAAGTTGAATTGAATATATGCTTGGTTCAAGTGGAATGTAACCATGCTGTTCATGTATTGGTCAGTGATCTTGAGTTCCGAAATTGCAAATACGATGTCTCAGATGTTATGACATCAATCACCCAACCATGCTTTATATGGATGGAATGTTAAGGAGATGTAAATATTTATATATTTCTTTTGGAAAAGTTAAGTTCTCCAAGCCATGTATACATATTTCAGAAATATTTATAAATGATTTTGATCTCTCTTAGTGAATGATAAAGAACAGAGTTTTATCATATGCCTGTAACTGTATTTTTTATCATTGCACTAAATTCAAGGACATAATAATAAATCAAATTTGATGCAGATCAACATGTTGTTATAGCTCCTATCTCATTTTGAAAAATAAAAATATTAAACTACCTAGATTTCTTTATTATTCTTTGCTTTTTCAGACTTCATATGGCCATTTCTTGTTTTTTGAATTTATCCAATGTCAGCCCTTAAGACCCATCAGCCAATGCAACTGAGGTGCAAACAAGACCAGAAGGCTGATGTGGAAAGAGATATTACATGTATATGCAATACAGGGTTCTCCCCAGGCCATTTAGCTGATACGGCTCCGTATCAGCTTCAGTTTGAAATCCTCCCTGCCGTATCAGTTTNCAATAGGATAAGAAAATGTATGGAAAACATGGGTTTTCTCCAGGTTCTACAGTTTCCTTCCACATTTAGACCCCCCACACGCTAACATCCAGGGGCCAACAAGAGTGATTAATATAAGTTGAAATAACTTGTTTCATAATTATTGTAAAATAAATAAAGTTTATGAATTATATATTTATATGGAAATGGCCATATAATGTTTTACTGATGTACAAACTGTACTACACTGTCAAAACCTTGTCAAATATATTCATACATGCCATGCATATTAACATAAAGCATACAGGACTATTGTGTATTTCATATATCCATTGTTTCTACTTGATCACATCGCCAAAACAAAAAGATAACTTCTTATTACAAATCAGGAGACTGTTAAGGCCCTTGGGCTATTGTTAACACCTCTGCACTATAGATTTCTTTATAATTGATGTTCCACCTGATGTATGATTAAACATTTATTTCTTTTTAGGCAATTGTCTAGATCGTTCTCCATTCTGTTTCATATCCTATGATACATTTGCTAACTTGACTAAGATAATTAAAAGTTTTACTATTAAATGTTTCATTTCTTGTTTTCCAAGCTTCTGGACAATTCTCTATTTGATAATTTTCCTCTTCAAATTTCATCATTATCATTATGCCTTTTCATGTGCTTCTAATGGTTTAAATTCTTATCTGTTTGAGTCTCTTGTTCATTAATAAGTTGGATGTCAGCTGCAGACATCCTAATGACCGTCTCCATGTTGTTATATCCATACCAAGTTAGGTTCGTTGGCTATTAAGACCATTTCATGTGTAATACTGATAGCTTCTATATGGACCAAGTGTTCAATTTAACATGTCAGTAATCTGTTATCAACAATCACAAACAGGTTCAACACTAGAATATCATATCATCATATTTATTTACAAAATAAACTAGACAAACAGTACAAATTTAAGATAAAATTTATACCAACCTCAACCATGTAATGAAACAGAAATATGTACATCAATCAACTCTGATGGTATCTTTAGCTAGAGGTGATAATATACTCTTTACTGGAGAGACTTTCTCATTCAAGTTTGATTTTTGATTAGCAGACAACAAGAATAAGCATTATGAATGATTGATTGAGGAAATACCATCCTCAATACTCAAGGGGTATAGAATGCTCACTTTCGCTTTCTGCATCCCTGAAATATGTCATACCAAAATTGAAGGCTCATTGTGCACCACCTTGTGGATGAGACAAGACTAGTTTGATTCTTTGATGTGTTACAGTAACATTGACTGGGTGTTTCTCCTCTGTGGTCTTCAAAGGACAGGTAAAAGCCTAGGGATTGGTAAGGTTTCTTTACCTACAGAGCAATCCTATAGCTAGCTGTGCGCCTTCAATGTTGCTATGACATATTGCAGGGATGCCGAGAGCAAAGTGAGCGTAACTCCTAGAGTATCAAGGATGTAGAAATACCTGATGTAGGTTTAACATGCACATGAAGTTGTGTTCACAGAGTAACCTGTCAAAATTAAACTCTGCATTATATGTAAACCTGTGTAAACCAGATATTCAGTTACTCTTTTATTAACTTGGTTTCCTAACATTTGAGAATGAAATTACAATTTTTGACAACGAATTCCCATATTTCCTTTCTATTTTGCTGCTGATAAAAATAATTAACACAGAGCTGTTCCCTGAAAACATGCACAAATCTAATCAAAATTGCACTAGAAATAAACCCTCTATTACTGGTGAAATCAAGAGCATAATATTTATATATTAAGATAAGCAATGGATGGGCATTGCTAATAAATGTTTATGTTCAAATATCTTATTTAAATTAGTGATCATAGAGCAGAAATCTTTTTGGTATTTTGTTCTCAAAATTGATATTAATCTAGTAACTAAAATGGGATAGGTTTTAGGTTTAAACAGACACATTCTCTTTTAACTCATTCACCCCTGAAGACACATTTGAACTCCTCCAATTCAAAGGTTGGAATAGTTCATTATGAAATTTTAGGGGTGAATGAGTTAAGGGAACCTGTCTAATATAGAAACGTTTGTACTCTAAATTTGAGTCTATTTGTTACCGACAGGTTTCACTGTATGTAAGGATGGAATGTACTACATTTTAAAGACAGTTTGAACAGACAAAAGCACTCTTACTAAAACTATAGCCGACAATCAGCAGACATTTTGTTTATAGTCACCAATACAAAGGTACATCCTTGGCATTATGGAAGTGATAATGACAACAGGAAGAAGAACTGAGCCAATACATGTATTACAATATCCCCATGCTGAATGTTCACATACTCTGTGGTGCCACGGTGCTCTCCATTAATCCAATGCTGAAAATGAGAGACAGAAAATCCAGACTTTTTCAAAGACCAGCCGTCATTTATGGGTTGTCATGGGTCAATTAACAAGGAATTCAATGAACCATAGTGTGAGGAAACACTAATTCCTAAAACATCTTCAAGGATGCATATGCAGTGCTCCATGTGTCCTATGAGGGTGCTCTCCTGTGATCACAGACATGTCCCAATATCTTGTACACAATGTTCAGACAAGTGTCCTGTCATATTTTTAATAAGTTCAGACAGGTACATTTGTTCCAGGATCATCCACTAGATTGAAATCAAGGGGTCAGTGTTCTGAACTTCCTCCTTCCATTGGTTCATTTCCAGGGGCTGAAATTTTAAAATAGTTTCAAATGTATGAGTTTTAACATTCTAACAAGAACTAAAGAGAAAAGGACAGCCAAGAGCTGAAAGCGACATCCACATTGCAATTTGCATTTTTTTTTTATGTCATAACCTGGTCAATAAATGTACAAATTATTTTTTGTTACATAGCATGATAGTAACAGCTGAATAAATTATTTTAGGAACTAACTTAGTGTCTACCTAAAAGACTCACCATCATTGGTGTTGTTTAAATGATTTGTGTGTCAAATAAAATCTAGAAATGAGTGATTTTGTGTGTACAGCTGTTCAAATTTAAGCACATATTATGAAATAAAACATTGATATTTTTTTAATCACTAGAGGATCTACATGCAAACTAACATCAAAACCATTCAGAATTTATTTTCAAGTTGGGAGACACTTTCTAAGTCTAAAAACTACCAGCTTGGTTAATTACAGCACTAACACAAAAGTGGTTGAAGTAGTATAACCAGAAAAATTACAGCAGTAAACCAGCTTGGTAACAGCAGTATCACCAGGGTGGTTAAAGTAGTATAGCCAGAAAAGTTACAGCAGTAAACTAGCTTAGTTAGAGCAGTACCATCACAGCGGTCAATGTAGTATTACCAAAGTGGTTACAGCAGTAAAGCAGTCCGGTAACAGCATTGGTGATATTTGACAATAGTATTACCAGAGTGATTATCCCCGGTACGGTAGCATTTGTCCTTGTGACCACTACAGCTCTTACAATCATCTTCATCTTCAGAGGAGGATTCACCAAACATCCTGGGTTTCTGATACTGACAGCAACCTTTAATGAAACAACATTCAAGTTTACGGGGATGGAGTCTGATACTGCTATACTGAAAGCAAAGGTACAGTTCTCTGGCAAATCTGAATCCTTTGTAACACTTCAGAATAAGATATATCCAATATGCAATAGAAAAACATTATAGGCAAACATACTACAAGTGACAAAGTACATGCAGTTCAAAAAAGCACTTTTAATCTTTGTTTGATAACACAGTCATCCAATACAGAGTGCCTTCTATGCATATTTATACACATGTCCCATGGTTTATGGCATCGTCGATATCCAGGGGTTACGCCCACTTTCAATCTCTGCACCCCTGGAATATGTCAAAGCAAAACCGAATTTTTATTTTTTACCGTTACGTGACCACAACATTCTTTTGATGAATATCAAAGGATCAAACTAGTCTTCTTGTTTCATCAACAAGGTGGCGCACACTGAGCCTTCAATTTTGCTATGACATATTCCAGCTGGGGTGCAGAGAGCTAAAGTGAGCGTAACCCCTGGATATCGAGGATGGGTTTATAGTACAGTACTCACATTTTGACTTTTTCTTATTCATGTGTTCATTGTCCACTGTTTCTGTGGTCCATTTCACCTTTTTGTCATTTTTGGGTTTTCTTAGCTTTAGCCTCAAGTTGGGACTACGATTAGGTGGCTGAAAATCATAATTTGGCAAATTAGATCTCAGAATCATTACAATCAAATGGAGGTAATCTTATAATTATATAAAATGTGTGCATCATTTACAGGCTTAATGTACTTGTCTCATAACAATTAAATGTAGAATATTAATTATAGGCAGAATGTTCAGTAAGCTGGGGTGTACTATTAAATGTACATCATGAGAAAATTCAACCAACCCCATTACGTATATTACCTGGAGCTACATGCAGTACATTACCTACATGCAGATGGTGTTTTTTTCCGTTTTATTGTTTAACATCTAAATGTTCATACCTTTTGTTGGTCATTTGTCTAATGAAGGTGACAGAGAATGTGCTATAGTCATTACAGTGTAAAACGTCATGCATAACATCAATATTGGCTGTGCTGTATGAGCCTTGTATATAATTTTGCATCATCATCGTTAGGTCCCTGTGGTTTACTGTGGAATTCGTTGAATCAATTAAACTTTTTCACAGGTGTTGACTTTTTTCTTGTGGACCTAATTAAATGACAGCTCAAGAAATACAAAACAGCATTTACATGTGAGCATTCTTTTTTCATATCAAAGGTTTCCTTTGGCCTCGACACCAGACTTTACCATTGCGACAGATAGATGCCTATCAAAATTTCGAAGCATGGTGTCAGAGCCAGATGAAACTCCTGCTAATTAAAGGTATATATATACTCTGGTAAAGGTTTGACAAGCCCTCTGAAGGAGCGCGGTTATAGTCACCCTACATATTAATCCCCTGATAACTCATATTCAAAGAACCTATTTAAAAATTGGAATTCATATATGTAATTTGAATATACTGGACTTGAATATTAGTTATTAAAACATTTCATAGCAAGGTTAATGTATTCAATAATTATATAATAAGCATTAAGGCTAATGTTTTCATAAAAAGTTCATCATACTTTTCATATGTCCATTTCATTAGCAACCCAACTAAATGCAGTGAAATGACATTATCTAAAGTTCAAAGTTTATATACTAAGTCATGCAGAGCTTAATTTCTTTTACCTAGCCATACTTGCCAACTTTTTGAAATTTCCATGGGGAGATTACGAGTGTTCAGATTAAAAGCAAAAATCTAATGTTTGTACCGGGTATGTAAACTTTTGCGGAAATATACACTTTTTAATGGCACATTTTTAGCTGTTCTTTCAGATTTTATTTTTAACAAATTCTCTAGTTGAAAATGCTCAATGTTAGGGTCCAAAATTGGAGGTCTCCCTCCAAAATAGGGAAAGTTGGCTTAAGTAGGTGAATTATAAGCCTTGGCACGGAAAGGCATGCTGGTCTCATAAGGTTATTGTGGCTATATGGCATTCCACAAAAATCATTGTAATATGCTTGAGTGATATGTTTTTATGGTACATGTATCTACCATTATATGTAAAACCAACAGCCTTGTGATCATTTAATATATAAACCATAAACACTATATAATGTGTCTTTTCTTGACCTTTAATGTTGGTTTCGAAAGGCTAGATGTGTTATAAACATTATAGCACTTTTCAGCTTCAATGTTTATAACACGTCTAGCACATTCATAACATCACAGAATGTTATGAAATGGCACAACCTCTAAAGTTCATTAGTCAATTCAGGTTACTTATATAATTACTAAACCTATAGCTATGCATGACCTTGGCATATAAATGTATGTACATTCTGTAAATAAATTTTGAATGCAGAATTTGAGTGGCGCAAAATTGCAATGAATAATGAAATAAATGAAAAAAAGTACATGTAAATGCACTCCAGAAGTATCCATGTAACCACCATTATGCAGAAAAATGTAAGAAAATATGTCAAATCCCCAGAATAATAGCATATATTCAGGGGTTTTGCCAGCTTTTTTGGGAAAGGGTCCCTGAGCAAAAACCCTGAGTGAGTTATTGTAAAATATCCAATGAAAATACATGCCATCATGCTTGAGACTTGAAGCATTTTCTTAAATTTTTCTCGATTATTGCGAATGGCACGGATACTTCAGGAATGCATGTACAGGTAAGTTTTTTCATGAACTAAAATATTCCACTCAAATTCTGCATAGAAAAGTTACTTCTCAGACAAAATCAACAATATTTTCGACAAATAGTTTCCGCAAATGTCATTTTTGACATTGTCCTTGACATGGATATACCAAACAAATTATTATTTTTCATTTCGAGGAAATGTTACAGTATGAAGCAATCACATACTATATAATAATATACTGACATAAGCCTGTATGAAATACCTCATTAAATATGAATTCCGATTTTTAATAAGGTTCTTTCTTTGAATACGATTAGTCTGGGGTTGATATTTAGGGTGACTTTAACCTCTTTCGGGGGGGGGCTTTTCGAACCTTAAGCTATAAAAATATTTATAGTAGAGTGCCTCACAGTGTTATATATAACGTTAGTTTATAACCAATAGTAGCTTTTAAATTGTCATTTTTGAAACCAACACATTTTATCTGGGGGTTCGAGACATGGCCAGCATGCATGTCGCTTGAGCAGCTCACCCCTTAGGGTCAGCTCCTGTGCAGGAAGGGTTCCGGGTTGTTTCGCCCCAAATCCCGTTCGCCCTAGGTTGTTTCGCGCCAGGTTGTTTCGCCCTAAAACATTTTTTTTAGGGCGAAACATTGTTTGGTATTTTCTTTTCATTTTTATTTGNCAGGAAGATGATGATGATCATGGTTTCTGATGAAACAACGGAATGTCAATAAATTAATAGGACCTACATAGTATCACAACTATTTGTGTTGTACAATATCTGAATCAGAAAAAAAAACTGTTTCTACGATTTCTACAGTAGACTGCTAGCTAGTCATCACTGACAGCAGTTTTACTACTCTACTGTACAGTACAGAAACCAGTCGTTACCTGTTCATGCTCCACAATAGTATCACTGACAGACACACTCGCTGATTGTGCGGTAGCCATATTTCGAACGCTAAGAAGACTTAAATAGTAACATATCTCAGGCAAAATGTTGAAATATACTGTGTTAAACTGATAATTATAAACCAGTGTCAATACATCGCAATGTCAATAAATATACCGGAAATAACTAATACTGACGTCATATGTACAGGCGCGTTGTATTCGGGTCTTTATAATCCTTTTGGGCGTGTTCGATGTACTGTTTCCCATCTACAAATAAATTACCTATCGAAGTACCTGCTTCCAGAATTATCACGCTGTTTACGGAGCATAGCTTTTTAGCAATAGAGGGAATTTAGATCATATGATAGACTTACAAACATACTTCGACAACTTGTTAAAATGGACAGACTCATATATGGTTAAGTTAAAAAAGCAATATGAACGTTTTCTTGACTCGAAAGGTGTGGTCTTAAAACTTAGATTTGAAAATAATGTTTCTTTATTTTTTGTTCACCTTTTTCTGTTGATCACAAACTGAACAACAGATTCCACGATGAAATTCAATGAACACCAAAGCCATCATATGTGTTCAAAACCGTAAAGTCTTAATTGGTTCTTATCAGTGACCGGTTTGAAGTAAGACAATTAACATATAAAGTTCTAATTAAGGTTCTACCCCGGTACACTAAGAAAATTAAAAGTCTTGTAGAAAGAAGAGTATGTATGACACAATATGGTTGATAGCTAGATGTAATAGACTTAAGAGATAAGCTTAAACTTACCAGAAGTAACCTTTTCCGTAACAAGAGATAATGCGCATTTTATTTGTCGACCCATCCAATGGTTTGGAAAGTGTGGCATTGTCCTGAACATCTCTAACAGGAGAGCACCATACCATGGCCAGCGATCGAACGGTAAAGAGGAAAGTTTGTTGTGTGATCTAAAGTGGATATACAGCCGATGACCCGACAGGACACAGCAGCCCAATTGAAAACCATGTGGACAGCGTTCCAGGAACGCGTCAATTTTCCTATGACATATTCCAGGGGTGCCACGAGGAGCGAAAGTGATCATGAGCGCAACCAATGGAGTATCGAGGATGTCGGTATCAAATAATTAAGGTTGTGTACCAAGGAAAACAGTCGGCCACATCACAGGTTACATCAAGTGTGCCAAAGGAAGGGGTCCCCAAACCGACTCTTTTCCTTGTCACATCCCGTTTCCCCACCTCGACTGTTTGCCGACGACTACCGCCTCTACAAGAAGATCACTTCACAGGAAAACTCGCCTTAGCTCTAGAGACCTCGACAGACTCCAGAAGTGGAAGGACGACGGGTTCATTGGGTTCCACTCCGACAAATATGAGGTCTTCCGAAGACTTCACCATGACTATACAATTAAGAATGCTTTGTCGACATCAGCATCCACCAGAACCTCACACGGAACAAACACAATTAAACAGCTTGCATAAACACGAATCCCACAATGCATTCACCCAATGAAACCTCAATAAATCTTCTACCAATATCAAGCAACCTGCTTCACCATTGTGCGACCGATCGTCAAACATGGATGTGTTGTGTTGAACAAGACAATGTAGACAAACTTGAGAAGGTCCAACAACGGACTGTTTGTTATGCACGTGGAGCCTTTGACAGGCACAGGAACTTCACAGCTATATGTTGAAGGCACTTTGGTGACATTCTAGCTAGAGTACCGGCTCAGAAGCTATGATGGGTGGTTGGGTATCGCAATGGAAGGCGTACTCACCCTTCATCAAGACGTCAGGGTTCGCGTCTCCCCCTGGGATTTTCTCCGGATACTCCTATTTCCTCCCTTATTTTAAAAAGACTCTCTGCGCAATTACATCCATACTAACAAACGTGATTTTTTGTTTGGTTTTATTTTGTTTAATGTGATATTAACAGCTGAGGTCATTCAAGGACGTACGCTGACAAAACTTATTTCATAATTGTTGTAAATTATTAATACCATCAATCCAGGCACCTTACTCCAAGAGACCATACCATCAAAAAGACGTCAACATCGATACCTCCAGTCACAGGTTTTGTAGCTCTCTCATCATCACTTGTTCGTTCCATCCGCTGTCAGTGTATTGAACCAGTTTCGATCACCAGTTGTTGAGGCTACATCTGTAAATGCTCAGCACCTTAACTTGGTACCTGTATTACACAGTTACCAATCTACACGGAGCTCATGTTTCCAACCTTTCGCTTAACGGTAAATACATGAGCGGATATGTTTTACTCCCGACATGCTCTGAGCGACATATCCCTAAATGATCTTGCGCTTTAAGTGAAAAGAGGATATTTTTTTTGGTAAACAATGAGACTATGGAATAGTCTAATGAATTATTTTCAAACTGGTATCGCTTTCCTACGATGTTCTCTCCAAACTGCATAACTGCGTATCCAGATGGTCAGGAAATGATATTTACATAGGTTAATCAAAAACACAATCGATTGGAAATCTCTCAGATTGCACATTTTAGTGTTGGCCAACGTATGTTTTGTCTTTGATTTGGTGCGTCTCTCCTCCTCTGCATTATGTACTGATAGCAAAATGTGCTAGTATTGCATATTAAAACCGCTCTGATAAAAATGTCCAAACGCTGTAAAAATACTAAAAGTAACATTTAATCATTGATTTCCGTTTGGATATCACAACTCAATGTGGACACAGAAAGACATCACAGGAACCGAACATATTTCAAACTACAGCAATAGACATCATGTACCCCCACAACAATAACGCAAGCGAAACCATGTACTCTGGAAGGATAAGAAGATCAACATTCCACTGCACTACAGCTTTAGTTCGCTTCTTTCTTTTTCAATCGTTATTCACCAAGTCGAGTCCTCCTTCTAGTTACCAAGCTAGATCTGTTACACAACGCTTGACGTTTTCCATTCCGAGACCATGGCAAATCCAGTGCTATCTTCTTTTGCATATTCTTTTGCGCATAGGCTGCCTCTTTGTTCTTTCGTTCATATCTTTGTTTCTTATTTTTCTCTGGCCATCCTATCCTATTCAGCACATATTCTGGAATGCTAAAATACTTTTTTAGTCTCTTATTGATTTTCCAGGTTTCACGTCCATAGGAGAGATAGCTGGGATGTTGACAGTACCAGAGCTCAAGACCTTCAGTGTGTAAAATTAGTTCTTTGCCTTTTTTTTTTTTACATAAATTTACTTGCTACATCTTCATCACATTCCCGTTCTATGTTATGCTACTCAAAGGGAAGACGGAGCTTCTTACTTCTTCTAGTAAATTGATTTTCATTCTATGTTTTGTGTTCAGACACATCAGTTAAGTTTTTCTGCGTTCACTTTTAGCCCCGTCTGGGAGGCTGCTGTTGGAATAGTCTAATTTTATGTCGCATATCTTTATGATATGATAGCAAGGTGTTCTGGAAAGCAAAATCATTTAGTTTTGATGTAAAATTTCAACAGATTCGTGCACTTGGCTTGCTATTGTTGATTTCTTCATGGCACTGTCTTTAACCAGAAAAAAACATAGAAATCTGGACATGACGCGTCCCTCTTTTACTCCCTTCGCTTTAAACATTTCAAATACTTTAACATTACTTAATACAGCTCCTTCTTATATTGGATAAAACAGACAGCTGACAAGTTTTCTTGGTATACCGTACATCTCCATTATCCCCAAGTCTCTATGCACAGCCGAATTTTAAAGTCGACGGATTTGAGATGAAGTTGTGCTTTCCATTCTGCTGACTCTTTGATTACACCTATGTTTTCCGACATGAACAATTATTCTGCAGTGCTCCTTCCTTTCACTACATCCACTCTGTTTTACTTTCGTGATGTACATGTTACCGATTCAATCTCGAGTTCTTCCAATGATGACGCTCCCAAGGATTGCACTGGGTACGGCGTTATTTCATCGGAGTTCTGATATATTTACACTCCCTTGTTTGGTTCTTCTTTCATTTCTTCAAATTTAATGGGATTCTTTCTCCATCTGATGTGATCTCACCTCGCGATTTTGGAGAGTTCCGATAGTTCTTATATAGACATCATTGATTTATCCGGTGTCAATGTCTATATCTTTATGTTCTCCATTGTATTGTATGTTCTCCTCTGTGATCTTACCAGAGACGTTGGATTATACAATATGATACTTTTATTTTCGAAAATGTTTCTAGACTAATCAGGATTTCCGATTTTTCAGCCACTAGCATCATCAATGAGTCAGAGAAGGGCGGAACAGCTGTATGGTGAAGTGGTATTCATTTTTACCATACCGTATCTATTATCATACTGTATCTATTACCATACCGTTTCTATTACCAGTTTTAATCAGCTTTATTCTGATATTTTTAGCCGCCTTTATTGCTTTTTGAATTATATTTGACTTGACATACATTTCGTTGTCTTCTCACTACTAGTATAGTCTGTTATTTGCTCCTCTTTGACACGTGCCTGATTTTGATATTTCGTTTAAATTTTCTTTTTATTCTCTTCTCAAGACATTCATCAAGGATTTTTACTTATTTTGTTGTGCACCGATTTGTCATTAGCTGTTTCTGTTCATGCTGGCTCCTTTAGTTTTCATGTCATTTCTACATCATCTTCCACAAAACGTTGTAACTTCCGTTCAAAATAGTTTGCCATTCAGTAACCTACATGTCAAATATCAAAAGCTTGATGGAAATAGTTATTTTAATAGTGAATTTCATCAGTTACACTAAATTTTACCTGAAGAATTTTGCATAATAAGAAAATGGACAGGTCAAAAGGAAACTATTTGATCAGTTGGATTTTTTTTCAACAATGTTTGACCCCAGGAACCTCTATGCCTAACTCAAATATTAAAAATACAAAACTCAACCCTTTCACCACTGTAGACCATAATGGACTCATCCAGATCAATGTATTGCAGAGTCTACTAAAGTTAACTAGGGTTGAAAGGGTTAACTAGATTTTTTTGGATTTTGTTTTAGAAAAATAGATTTTTTCCCCCCAACTGTTTTGACTACATGAATAAATTTTAATTTTAAACAAAACTTAACCAAACATCGACAGCAATGAGTGGATGACTATATAACTAAAAGCCCCTGTAGTTTCCATAAAGGCGAGTTAAAAATGTACCCTTCAGTTCAAGGTTTTATGTTTTTTGGTTTGAATATTTTGTTAGTTTTGTTGCATCATACCTAATCCCTGTTTTCCCTGGTCTGTTTATATTTGATACAAGTATAACAAAACAAGAGGCCCAATGGGCCTGAATCGCTCACCTGGTATTAATCTCACACTGATAATCTTAAAAGTGGACTAAAATACAGCTACAGGCAGAATATCAGTGTTTGACTCACAAGAACCTATTAATAGATTTCAACATATGACGCCTGTGACTTTGAATGTCGAACAAGGACATTAGGTTGAAAGTGGGTAAAGAACATAAGGACATAAGATTGAACAGAGTTTATAGTCGACCAACCCAGCATGCTTCTGGCAAATTTACAGAACAAGTCATTTAAAGATTTTAACATATATTGACCACTGTGACCTTGAATATAGGCGAAGGTCATTCATTTGAAAAAAACATTTGACCCCTGTGACCTTTAATATATATGTCAAGGTCATTCGTTTGAACAAACTTGGGAGTCATTCATCCAAGCATACTACTGGCCAAATATCATCATCAAAGGCCTTTTTGTTATTGAGAAGAAGTTGTTTAAGGGTTTTTAACATATTTGAACCCTGTGACCTTGAAAATGGATGAAGGTAATTCATTTGATCAAACTTGGTAGCCCTTCATCCCAGCATGTTACTGGGCAAATATCATTATCCTTTGCCTCTTCGGTATTCAGAAGNTGCCCTTTTGCGTATTGAGAAGTCGTTTAAAAGTTTTAAACATATTTGACCCCTGTGACCTTTAATATATATGTCAAGGTCATTCGTTTGAACAAACTTGGTAGTCATTCATCCAAGCATACTACTGGCCAAATATCATCATCAAAGGCCTTTTTGTTATTGAGAAGAAGTTGTTTAAAGGTTTTTAAAATATTTGGACCCTGTGACCTTGATAATGGGAGAAGGTAATTTGTTTGATCAAACTTGGTAGCCCTTCATCCCAGCATGTTACTGGGCAAATAGCATCACCCTTGCCTCTTGGTTCTTCAGAAGAAGTTGTTCAAAGATTTTAACATATTTGACCCCTGTGACCTTGATAATGGATGAAGGTAATTCATTTGAACAAACTTGGTAGCCCTTGATTCCAGCATGCTGCTGGCCAAACATCATCATCCTAGGCCTTTTGGTTACTGAAAAGAAGTTGTTTTAAGTAAAACATTGACACCGGACAGACGGACGACGCACCATGGCATAAGCTCACTTGCCCTTCAGGCAGGTGAGCTAAAAAGGAAATGACAAACGCCAGCACATATTTGTTATTGGTTTAATGTTTGCCAAGTGTATGTTACATCAGCGGGGTGCTACAACACTCGACCGTAACCTGTATAACATCAAACAAATTGGTAACATCTGAACACAGTAAAAGTCCCACACAAGTGGAAAGTCTATATCAAATTCAAATATGTCGGGAGTTATTCAGACACATTACAGTGTATAGCTTGTAACAAGACCATATCTGCGTCCCTGCCACAAAATTGTCGCCTGAACACTAACTTTATAACATAATTTTGCATATATAAAGTAACTACTCGGGACACCTGAAGTTCACGATAATCTAGTTTTACTGTCAAGATTTCTTGTTCCTTTCACCAATTACGAAATCCTTGCAAATAAGTTAATTTAATTTAAAAAAAAATGTTTCCAATGATCAATCACCAAAAACTGCAACATATTGGTCTCTTTATTATCATCTTTATCTTAACCATTTCATCACCAACATCAAATCAAAAGTTTGTTTCAGGTGCAGTAAAGGTAAGGGAATTTGTGTATGACTGGGGAAACTTTGTACTTTTATTTACACCAAAAGTGATGGTTGTATTTACATAACACTAATCATCCTGTAATCATGTAAAGAAGTTTGATCGCCAAAATAATTTAGACTAGAGATATGTATATACCCAGATAGTATAGATAAAGTAATGTTGCCACCTTTAAATTTATGCACATTGTTTAAATGTAATGCACTGGCGTCGAAAGGTGGTTTTTTCTGACACATTATTTTTCTAAAAAAACATATGACAATGTCAATTTTATAACAAATAGTCAAGCATTTCAGTCAATGATAAGCATTCTTTTGCACCATCTTTTCTGTAACTCTGATCAAAAGAGTTTTGTTTTAACAATGTCTAGACTACTATGAACATTGTAGACGAAAAAGTCTGAACAACTGTGAACATCATAAAGTACAGAGGTTGAAATTAATCTAGCCATCATACCCAATTACGTGTTTAGCACAAAGCACCATATCTATCACCAAGGCAAAATATATGCAAGTGGATATTTTTTCAACCAGAAAACAGCAAACATATATACTTAAGTATATACATGTATCAATATGGTTATGTTATGGTGAAATCTTTTACTTTCTCTCCCTATTNACCCCACCCTGTTAGATGGAAGACAGAAGCAGCATCCATAGGTGGGACTAACTGATTTGTTATAATTAGTCCATGTATAAAATATTCTGAAGCCACCTGACAAACACTGACAAGATCTTAATCAATTCTTTATCAAATAATCTTCAATTGTCATGTGATCTAACATCTAGTTGAGTCTGAGAATATAAATATATAGTTTACAAGCGATACAACTGGTCAAAGCACTGGATATGTCATAAACCAGTCATATCAACAGCATCACAGTATGCATCTAGCAGTATAAATATATAGTTCTTTATCACTTCATCATGATTTTATCATTGATTTTATTTAAATAAAAGTTCATTGGACATTTTAAATAACTTCTCATATCAGTTTTAACAAAGTAAAATCGGTGTCAATTTCCTTATCAACATGATCACCAACTTGTACATGCCATAATTCATATTGCTAATAAATAAGAAAGTTGTGAAATTGATACAAAATGAACAACTTTAGAGCAAAGACACATGTATCACTAGTGTTACCTCCATCAGAAAAGATTTTGGATCAAGTTCAATGCTGTCTTATATTTTACTTAGAGTTGTGTCAAAATCTGATATATGTACAAGCACGTGTATATGCATATTGTCAATAGTTTTTTTAAACAAATTCAGCCTGATCTCCAAGAAAACATATGTTGGGTGTCTATAAAGTCAGACTTCACTCTATATGAATATTTTGACTGTTTTTTTCAATCAATTTTTTCACTTCTAGATAATCAATATGGCTGTGTACATTCCAGAAATTTTTAGTACAATATAATTGCTGTCTTGTGCGATTCATCTATATAAAATCATAATAAAAATCATCTTCAGATACAAAATTATTAAATTTCCTTGACAAAATGAAAAACTGCCCTGAAGAAATTGGTATGTTCAAGACAGGTAAATTAACAGGAACATAACATTCCAAACAAAGTCACGAAGGATAAGGAAACAAACTATAGGGATGGTGAAGGCTTCATAATCACAGGCGGTGGGACCTAACAACAGAATAGTCGAATACATTGTAGGAGGTGGGACTCGGCAACTTGGAACCTTTAACGCCTTCACCCCTGAAATTTCATAATAAACTATTCCAACCTTTTATTTGAAGGAGTTCAAAATCTGTTTTCAGGGTTAAATGATCAGACTGGGTGGTCTAAAAGTCAGCGCAAAGGACAGGTTAAGGAGGATGGTATATATATATTTGTTTATTTTAAACTAAATTTTGTATTTTCAGATTATTTGCCCTTTGACATCAAAATAAATCATTTGGTTCATGTCACTGTAAAATATGAGTTGATTTCTTAGAATGTTGCTTATTTTTGTATCGGTTAAAAGATCCCACTACCAAAACTGAAAACTCAACAAAATACAATGCATATGCCATAAAAACCCATGTTATTTGCGCACCTGTGTAATTTGCGCAGGTACTTTTTGAGGCTGAAAATCTGGAAAAAAGCACATGTTTATACACACAATACATAATGATGTGACCCTAAATGGAGAATTGAACAAGATTTAACACGAGTCCAAAGGACATCAACGACAAATCGATGAAGGACTGAATATTACATCACAAAACACTTCACAAGTGATACACTTGATTACTTTGGTAATACAGCATAAGGAAACACTTTTAACTGTAGTCACATAATTACATCACACATATTTCAATACTAGCAGAGAAAATTTAGTTCAAAAACAAAGGACCGTCATGATCTTGCTAATATCGTCACACATTCACTGATGATGTTTCATTACGAAACATGAAAAACACACATGCTCAAAACACTGCTATCTATCACAATCATTAGAACCATGGTATTAATGTATATATAAAACCAGGTAAACAAATAACAGGACCGCATATGTACATAATAAATGGACACAAAACATGAACGGACAATATATTAACATCTGATTCCATTACCCTGTGCATAATGGCCTAACTACCAATAGGTAACATCTCCTGATAGTGTAAATAGGCTTTAACCCATTCATCCCTAAAGTCACATTTGAACCTTACCAAATCAAAGACTAGGCAAGTCCAGTTTAGTTATGTAGGGGTGAATGAGTTACTATTTATCTACATTATGTTCTGTACTCACAAAAATGTATAATACTGGAGTAAACAATATTTAACTCTTCCACCCCTGAAGACACATTTGAACGCTTCTAATTCAAAGGTTGGAATAGTTTGTGAAATTTCAGAGATGAATGATTACTTGTTTGACCATGTGATAGGTTGGTACAAATGCCCTTCTTTGGTATTATTTAAATATTAACCTACAAATTTCCAAAATTTTATTTTTTTATTTTTTTTGACAAAGGATATTTTCTGTACCAAAACAATTGAATTTCAATACAGAAAAAATGTATCTACTATCTATATGTAAAATTTGAAATAATAAAAGTACAAAAAGATACCAAATAAACATAGAATCTTTTTTGGTCATAAAAAATAAAATGCTGAATCATCAAAATAAGATCTGATTGTATAAAGATTCTAATTGATATGGAAACGCCAAAATTACAGAAAGATGCTAATTCACAATATATTGGTTATTCTTTATCCATATACACATAACTGGAATGTTGTATATAGATTTAGTCTATGAGTTAGGAGGTGTTTGAGTTTTCACTAGCATGTCCATTCTCCTGATTGACCTGGGCTATAGAACTCATTTGTCCACGGTCAATACATTTCTGTGTCATCCCCGAGTCCTCAACAGACAGATAGCTGCACCATTCATTGTTGTCAGGGTTAAGGTACTCTGTCGTATCTAAGAAAGTCCGTCCAGAAAATCCCCCAACTGCGAACACACGGTTTGTATAGATCACAACAGCGATATTGGCTCTGGGAACACTAAGTCCTGGACCCATTATCCATGCATCCTTTTCGGTTACAAACACCTCTGTGGACTTGAGGGACTGGGTCCCGTCACTACCTCCAACGATGTAAATCTTACCTGAAAAAAATAAACAACAATGTTAAAACAATGTCACTTGTACAGATACAGACAACAGGATTTGTAGAACTTTAATACATAAATGAGGATTAAATCTGAAATGATTCATGATCACTATTTGAAATGTAGGACCCCTTTCACATATCTGGCTCAACCTGTTTGTCTGTTTTTACATGAAACATTTTTGGGTATAAATCCCGATGGACCTGTTAATGTTCATGCAGGCCTTGGAAGACTTTGTCAAGGATCGCCGGAAAGCAGCATCAGAGTATTAGGTCCAACCTTATTTCATAAACGAACAACTCTGGTCCAACCGGTTCAACCGTTTGGATCGCAATAAACGAATGCGGCCTAGGTGAAATTATAACCAAAATCACTACAACTGATGGGACTTATATGTATAGTATCATCTTTACTTTGAAATGATGTATTACTTACCATTAAGTGACTCACATCCAGCACCGCGTCGTGAAACATTCAACTTCGGCCCATTTCGCCACGTCATCGTCTTAAAATTGAAGATTTCTACAGAGTTCAGACAGTTCCAACCATCTGTGCCACCAATGGCATACAACTCTCCCTCGTGTTGACAAACCCCAGCTTGGTAACGCGCTGTAATGATTGAAATATAAATACTTTCAGAACTTTAGGTCATTTATAAATGATTTTTGAATTTCTACTTCAATTGGCAATACATTCTGACTGGCTTTGTTAATATACTTGGGTCAAAGTCTGTCATATTAAAAAGAAAGATTATTGGGGACAAATGCAGGACATTTTCTGATCACTCAAAAGAATGTGGGAAATTAAGTGTATATGGTCAGGCGTTTAAGCTTTTATGTTAAAGAAACATATCAACTGTTAAGAAATCTTCAAATCAATAATGATGATTTTGTCAGCAAGTTCAACAAAAAATTTAAAATATTTTACTGAAATTCACAAGACAAATATTTAGTGATATTTAAAGGCTTAATGAAAAGTGTGACATACGTGTATTCATGGGCGGCAGAGAGGCCCACTCCTGTGTGGCGGGTGTGAACACCAGAAAATTAGCCAAGCTCTTCTGACCCATACAACCACCCACCAGGTAGAGTGTGTCGTTCATCGCTATCACACCTGTAAACAAAAATACAACATCAAAACACACCAGGTAGAGTGTGTCGTTCATCACTATCACACCTGTAAACAAAAAACACAACATCAAAACACACCAGGTAGAGTGTGTCGTTCATCGCTATCACACCTGTAAACAAAAACACAACATCAAAACACACCAGGTAGAGTGTGTCGTTCATCGCTATCACACCTGTAAACAAAAAACACAACATCAAAACACACCAGGTCGACCACTCAATGTAACTTGCAATCACTTTTTCAGCAAAGAACCTTTCCAATTGCAGATCTGAAACTTTATAAAACGAGTACTTCTGGGCTGTAATATTATACACCCATGACATACCATTAAGTTTCCAGTTAGATGCATTTCAACACAAAGGGTTGCAATTGAAACATTCTGTTAAGTTGCATTCTTGTAACAATTTGTATCAAACCATTGATTTGTAACAAGAAACAAGAAGTCCAAGGGCCTTGAATGATTTTAAGTGAAGCTTGAAATTAAGGTTGTAATCAGCCCTGTAATTTGCACGAAGTGATCATAGATATGTAACCTTCATCAACATGAGTTTTTACCCTTATTGGGTATGATACCACAACCAAAGATTTCACTGAAACTTGCCCAGTATATTGGGAGATGTTTTTCAAAGCAAATATACCCCCCAAAAGAGGGGAAGATAATTTATTTGTAGTACATTTGATAAACATGGATTAAGGATGCTACCATCATGATTAATTGGTTGAAACCTTCCAAGAAGGAGGAGCTGTCGTTTAAAGCAAAATAATCAAACTGACCTGTTTCTTCAACCTCCATGAGCTTGAGGTGAGCTTCTTTTTAATATTTCGCTTTTTTCAGAAAAAATGAGGGATACAAATTCAACTAATTTCAGCTTTTAAGCTTAAACTCTTTAAGCCCCTAAGCTGTTCAGCCCTTTTTTTGTTGTGTAGAACTTTTGGCTGAATTGTGCTCAAGAATTATAAAAAAGATATTGTTGAAGTACTTCACTACTGTCATAAATATATAGTCTACTGGAGACATGAAAATATCTGTTACCTCATCCTTGGGTTCAGTACTCATAAACATGAACTCATTTTAATCCCCAGAAAAATAAGCTATGATGTTATTAGAGTATAACTGCTTATTTAATTACACCCTATCGGTGTCATTAATAGAGCCTACCTTGTGACACCCTAGCGTTGCTGGTACTACAGAGAGTTTTCCACTTCTGTGTAGCAACGTCGAAGCAGTGTATTTTCGTTTGGCAACCATGACCATCAGAGCCCCCTATTGCATATAGGACACCGTTGATCTGTTCCATGGAAAAGCGCCCCCTAGGGTCAGGCATGTCAGGTAAAGGAGTCCATTTGTTTGTCTTTATGTCGTAAGCTTCCACTGACAGCAGACACTCTCCTCTGTCATAGCCACCTGGTGAAATATTACAGACATATTACAGACATCAATAGAGACACACTCAAATAAATATCCTCTGTCACAGCCACCTGGTGAAATATTACTGTCATCAATAGAGACACACTCTCAAATAAATATCCTCTGTCATAGCCACCTGGTGAAATATTACAGACATCAATAGAGACACACTCAAATAAATATCCTCTGTCATAGCCACCTGGTGAAATATTACAGACATCAATAGAGACACACTCAAATAAATATCCTCTGTCATAGCCACCTGGTGAAATATTACAGACATCAATAGAGACACACTCAAATAAATATCCTCTGTCATAGCCACCTGGTGAAATATTACAGACATCAATAGAGACACACTCAAATAAATATCCTCTGTCATAGCCACCTGGTGAAATATTACAGACATCAATAGAGACACACTCTCAAATAAATATCATCTGTCATAGCCACCTGGTGAAATANCGACCACTCAATGTAACTTGCAATCACTTTTTCAGCAAAGAACCTTTCCAATTGCAGATCTGAAACTTTATAAAACGAGTACTTCTGGGCTGTAATATTATACACCCATGACATACCATTAAGTTTCCAGTTAGATGCATTTCAACACAAAGGGTTGCAATTGAAACATTCTGTTAAGTTGCATTCTTGTAACAATTTGTATCAAACCATTGATTTGTAACAAGAAACAAGAAGTCCAAGGGCCTTGAATGATTTTAAGTGAAGCTTGAAATTAAGGTTGTAATCAGCCCTGTAATTTGCACGAAGTGATCATAGATATGTAACCTTCATCAACATGAGTTTTTACCCTTATTGGGTATGATACCACAACCAAAGATTTCACTGAAACTTGCCCAGTATATTGGGAGATGTTTTTCAAAGCAAATATACCCCCCAAAAGAGGGGAAGATCATTTATTTGTAGTACATTTGATAAACATGGATTAAGGATGCTACCATCATGATTAATTGGTTGAAACCTTCCAAGAAGGAGGAGATGTCGTTTAAAGCAAAATAATCAAACTGACCTGTTTCTTCAACCTCCATGAGCTTGAGGTGAGCTTCTTTTTAATATTTCGCTTTTTTCAGAAAAAATGAGGGATACAAATTCAACTAATTTCAGCTTTTAAGCTTAAACTCTTTAAGCCCCTAAGCTGTTCAGCCCTTTTTTTGTTGTGTAGAACTTTTGGCTGAATTGTGCTCAAGAATTATAAAAAAGATATTGTTGAAGTACTTCACTACTGTCATAAATATATAGTCTACTGGAGACATGAAAATATCTGTTACCTCATCCTTGGGTTCAGTACTCATAAACATGAACTCATTTTAATCCCCAGAAAAATAAGCTATGATGTTATTAGAGTATAACTGCTTATTTAATTACACCCTATCGGTGTCATTAATAGAGCCTACCTTGTGACACCCTAGCGTTGCTGGTACTACAGAGAGTTTTCCACTTCTGTGTAGCAACGTCGAAGCAGTGTATTTTCGTTTGGCAACCATGACCATCAGAGCCCCCTATTGCATATAGGACACCGTTGATCTGTTCCATGGAAAAGCGCCCCCTAGGGTCAGGCATGTCAGGTAAAGGAGTCCATTTGTTTGTCTTTATGTCGTAAGCTTCCACTGACAGCAGACACTCTCCTCTGTCATAGCCACCTGGTGAAATATTACAGACATATTACAGACATCAATAGAGACACACTCAAATAAATATCCTCTGTCACAGCCACCTGGTGAAATATTACTGTCATCAATAGAGACACACTCTCAAATAAATATCCTCTGTCATAGCCACCTGGTGAAATATTCCAGACATCAATAGAGACACACTCAAATAAATATCATCTGTCATAGCCACCTGGTGAAATATTACAGACATCAATGGAGACACACTCTCAAATAAATATCCACTGTCATAGCCACCTGGTGAAATATTACAACCATCAATAGACACACATTATCAAATAAATATCCTCTGTCATAGCCACCTGGTGAAATATTACAGTCATCAAAAGAGACACACTCTCAAATAAATATCCTCTCTCATAGCCACCTGGTGAAATATTACAGTCATCAAAAGAGACACACTCTCAAATAAATATCCTCTGTCATAGCCACCTGGTGAAATATTACAGACATCAATAGAGACAAACTCTCAAAGAAATATCATTTGTCATAGCCACCTATTACTATGGTTACACAAGTTCAAGTAAATATCCTTTTATGCTATTGCAGCCACCTAACTAAATCATAATGTAAACTAGTTGAAAGAGAATACATGTAGTTGATGTCTACAAAAGTACTGATATTTGTTCAAGCCTTATGGAATTCCAATTTGAACCCCAATAAACCTTCGAAATTAATGGTGGGTATCTATAGTTTGACACTTCAAAGACGAAAAACAACTAGAAAATTGCCAGTTTCTTGGGCCAAATTTATGCTAACAATATTGTCAGCATGACCTCCTGAAAGAAAATAGCATATTTTTCATGTAATGCATGTGCATAGGTTCATCTGATACAAGTGCTGAACAAAGACAATTTTTATAAGGTTCTATGTAGTTCTGACTGTCACAGGATAAAGCAATACTCACCACAAGCGATGATTTTGTCTCCAACCACACCAAGGCCAAAGCCACACCTCGCACTGCTCATGTTGGCCAGGGGGGTGAGGGAGGCATGACGCTCAAATAAAGAGTCGGGCATGAATGGGAGTTTGGGGGTCACAGAGTCTGGGGAATCTGGCTCATCTGATCCACTTCCTGAGTTGGATTTTCCTGTACGGTAATGGATGGAAATGGTAGCCAAGGTCCCGTTCAGCATGGTGATGGCCATGTAAGTCTTGTCTATAAAGATAACAACACCAGAGGTCAGCACCAGTCAAAAACCATAAATGTTACAGATCATCTGGTCATAATGTTGGCATCAAACACTGTTCCATTTGTTGAGCTGATGACATCTGCCATTGAGACAGGCAAACCACATAATTAGTTATTCAGGTTATTATATGTTACTATGGTAACTTATCACAGAATTTATAATTAATGTTGCTATGGTAATATGTCCTTTGGATGGTATATATTGCCATGGTTACCCACCTTTGAGTTGATATGTTGCTATGGTGGTCCATTCTTTCTCAGCAATGAGTCCATCAGGGTTGATGCTGAACTTGCGAACCACGGTACCACCCGGACTGATCTGGAGCTTCTTTCCCGTTTCCTTACTTGGGATCAGATTCTGAGGAATACCACACATCTGTTATAACAACACCAATAACGCTTTTCTGTAACCATAGCAATAACGCTATTCTGTCATGTTCACACAATTATACAACACTGAAACCTAGCCAATAAAGAAGATCTTCCTGTAAACCTTTCACTTTAGCCGATTGAATGACTATCTTTTCTACCCCTATTAAATAACTTCTGTATCCATGGAAACATATAATGACATCTCTACTGATAATTGTACAAAGGCCAAAGGCAATACAAAAGATATCTATCCATCTGTTGAATTTCGAGATATTACAACATTATTGCAGGGCTTTCACTGTCCTAACAGACTAAAAACTAACTCTACGTACCTTCCTGTTTTTGGTTTTCTGTGTGTAATCCCGTACCAGATCATCTTTCCTACGGTCATCTGAGATGTTCTTGGTGTCTGTCAGTGTGTTGTCAGCGTTAAGGCATAGTATGTTGGTCTGAAACATGATTGACAGCTATAGATTAGCATTGGGTCTCTACCACAGACACACAACAAAATCAAATTAGTAAAAATATTAACAAAATCTGTTTTAGCAAGAAAGAAACAGTCAACTGTACATATAACATAGGGGGAAAAACTAATGGATTAAGTGTCAAAATTTCCTTATCGTCTTTAGGATCTAAATGGTAGAGACTTTAGGGTATTCACAAATAAGTCTTGTCATTAAGTAGCAGTCACTCAACTCAGAAGACAAACACAACACCAGTAAGAACACATAGGCAGATGTTTACTTGGTTTATAAGTTTCCGGCTCTGTAGGGAGGCGGCATCAGACATAACAATAGAGAGTAATAATGGTATACTCACTCAGCATTTATCCACATCTGTTGGAACATAAGGCTAGGTAGAAAGAATAAGAACTCAATCTATCAATACAATTTTCATTACTTTATTCTAGACCATGTGATTTAGATGGTAGCTGTTTTTCCCACACATCTATGACAATGTTCACTAAAGCCAATGTCTATGAATAGCTAAGGTTAATCCATGCCTACCTGTTCTGTGAGGTACTCTAGGATGTAAATCTAGGCCTACCTGTTCTGTGAGGTACTCTAGGATGTTAATCTAGACCTACCTGTTTTGTGAGGTACTCTAGGATGTTAATCTAGGCCTACCTGTTTTGTGAGGTACTCTAGGATGTTAACCAAGGCCTACCTGTTCTGTGAGGTACTCTAGGATGTTAATCCAGGCCTACCTGTTCTGTGTTCTGTGTGGCACTCAAGGATGTTAACCCAGGCCTACCTGTTCTGTGTTCTGTGAGGTACTCTAGGATGTTAATCCAGGCCTACCTGTTCTGTGTTCTGTGAGGTATTCAAGGATGTTAATCCAGGCCTACCTGTTCTGTGAGGTACTCAAGGATGTTAATCCAGGCATACCTGTTCTGTGAGGTACTCTATGATGTTAATCTAGGCCTACCTGTTCTGTGTTCTGTGAGGTACTCTAGGATGTTAATCCAGGCCTACCTGTTCTGTGTTCTGTGAGGTATTCAAGGATGTTAACCCAGGCCTACCTGTTCTGTGAGGTACTCAAGGATGTTAATCCAGGCATACCTGTTCTGTGAGGTACTCTAGGATGTTAATCTAGGCCTACCTGTTCTGTGTTCTGTGAGGTACCCCCCGATGTTAATCCAGGCCTCCCTGTTCTGTGTTCTGCGAGGTACTCTAGGATGTTACCCCAGGCATACCTGTTCTGTGTTCTGCGAGGTACTCTAGGATATTAATCTAGGCCTACCTGTTCTGTGTTCTGTGAGGTACTCTAGGATGTTAACCCAGGCCTATCTGTTCTGTGATGTACTCTAGGATGTTAATCAAGGCCTACCTGTTCTGTGAGGTATTCAAGGATGTAAACCCAGGCCTACCTGTTCTGTGAGGTACTCTAGGATGTTAATCCAGGCAAACCTGTTCTGTGCGGTACTATAGGATGTTAATCTAGGCCTACCTGTTCTGTGTTCTGTGAGGTACTCTAGGATGTTAACCCAGGCATACATGTTCTGTGTTCTGTGAGGTACTCTAGGATGTTAATCCAGGCCTACCTGTTCTGTGAGGTACTCTAGAAAGTTAACCAAGGCCTACCTGTTCTGTGAGGTACTCTAGTATGTTAACCCATGCCTACCTGTTCTGTGAGGTACTCTAGGATGTTAATCAAGGCCTACCTGTTCTGTGAGGTACTCTAGGATGTAAACCAGGGCCTACCTGTTCTGTGAGGTACTCTAGGATGTTAATCCAGGCCTACCTATTCTGTGAGGTACTCTAGTATGTTAACCCAGGCCTACCTGTTCTGTGAGGTACTCTAGGATGTTAATCCAGGCATTCCTTTTCCGTGAGGTACTCTAGGATGTTAATCCAGGCCTATCTGTTCTGTGAGGTACTTTAGGATGTTAATCCAGGCCTACCTGTTCTGTGAGGTACTCTAGGATATTAATCCAGGCCTATCTGTTCTGTAAGGTACTTTAGGATTTTAATCCAGGCCTACCTGTTATGTGAGGTACTCTAGTATGTTAACCCAGGCCTACCTATTTTTTGATGGGTATTCTAGGTTGTTAACCAAGGCCTACAGTTATGTAAGGGACTCTAGGATGTTTATCAAGGCCTACCTGTTCTGTGAGGTATTCAAGGATGTAAACCCAGGCCTACCTATTCTTTGATTGGTACTCTTGGATGTTTACCCAGGCCTACCTATTCTGTGAGGTACTCTCTAGGATGTTAATCCAGGAATTCCTTTTCCGTGAGGTACTCTAGGTTGGTAACCTAGGCCTACCTATTCTTTGATGGGTACTCTAGGATGTTAACCAAGGCCTACTGTTCTGTGAGGTACTCTAGGATGTTTACCCAGGCCTACCTATTCTTTGATGGGTACTCTAGGATGTTAACCAAGGCCTACCTGTTCTGTGAGGTACTCTAGGATGTTAACCAAGGCCTACCTATTCTTTGATTGGTACTCTAGGATGTTTACCCAGGCCTACCTGTTCTGCGAGGTACTCTAGGATGTTAACCCAGGCGTACCTGTTCTGCGAGGTACTCTAGGATGTTAACCCAGGCGTACCTGTTCTGTGAGGTACTCTAGGATGTTAACCAAGGCCTACCTGTTCTGTGAGGTACTCCAGGCGAGGCTTCTCCTGGTCGATGTTCTCCTTTGCCCAACTAAGCACCAAGCTAAACATATGACGATCATCACTAGACTCCACCAGCTCAGGGTCAGCACCTGAAAAATGAAATAAATTACTTTGTAGGAAGTTCAACAACTGAAATCCCTGAGTAAGAATCATTACTACGGTTGTTACACTTAACGTATATGATCAATGACCTTCACCCTAGTAATGGCGGTTCTATGATAATGACCTTCACCCTAGTAATGGCGGTTCTATGATAACGACCTTCACTCTAGTTATGGTTGTTTTATGAAAATGACCTTCACCCTAGTAATGACTTACCTATGATAACGACCTTCACCCTAGTAATGACTTACCTATGATAACGACTTTCACCCTAGTAATGACTTACCTATGATAACGACCTTTACCCTAGTAATGGTTGTTCTATGATAAAGACTGGTACCCTAGTAATGGCTTACCTATGATAAAGACCTTCACCCTAGTAATGACTTACCGTAAAAACCCATGTAATTTGCGCACTTTTTTTTCAGAAATTTTATACCCAAAGTGGGGGGTGCGTAAAATACACAGGTATAGAAAGTTTCAAGTTTTTTTCTTGGAGATCGCCATCTTGGATTATCTCCCTTGGTACACGGTACTCTAAGACAAATGCAGTCAACAAATTTATTTATGTCGAACATTAATAAAAGATACAGTTAATACATAATGTGTTGTTATCTGAGTTTATGTGCAAAGTATTATTAAATAGGTAACTGTTAACAAAGAAAGTTTAGCCAAATTCCTATGCCAGAGAATTGCCGATCAACTTAATCGTAAAAATAGTCTGCTTTAACTATTTTTTTCCTTGGAGTAGATTTGAAGAGGATGTATTGATTGTCCACGCTTCTAGTATAAACATATTTTTTATAATCCCTTATCGGTCAAATCAGTCTGTAATTATGACAATGCAGTAGGGCTTCGTAATTCTTGCCAGGTGTTGGTGAGTGAAAAAAACAACAACACGGTCCGTCGATCGCGTCTGCAAATCATTTCAATTAGTAGAGCTATTGTTAACGGGTAATCACAGATATAGTGTTAGCTAATTGTATGGCCAAAAAATATCGCCAAACCAGGGACTTAGGTCATCTAATTCCGTGGCCAAACTGAACTGTGACATGACCTGGTTTGAAGTGACGATACCCAAGCCGCCATAATGAGCCTTTCTCACTGATCGTAATTATGATCAATAAAAGGTATCTAATTATGTCTTTCACCAGGAGATATGCACCAGCGGTAACTAAACATCGAATTACTTATTAATTGATATGTTTTTGTAAGCAAGTAAATGTTTTATATAAAATATTGCTAAAATGAATTGATGTATGCCGATATGCGCACACGTGTGTGTCATGTGTGTGATCAGATAATTCCAAGAAAACGAACAACAAAATACACATTTTACGTAGTTTCTTCTTGGGATTTTTTTTTCTTTCTTTAGATCAATGAAAAAATTTTCATAAGAAATATATTCAAAAAAAATATATTCAGAGATCGATTTTCGGAGCATGAACATCGTTTTTCACCCAGATTTTTTGGGTGCGCAAAATATTCGAGTAGAAGCTTTTTTCCCTGATTTTCAGCCTCAAAAAGTACCTGCGCAATTTACACAGGTGCGCAAATTACATGGGTTTTTACGGTACCTGTGATAACGACTTTTACCCTAGTAATGACTTATCTATGATAACGACCTTTACCCTAGAAATGGCTTACCTATGATAACGACTGGTACCCTAGTAATGGCTTACCTATGATAACGACCTTTACCCTAGTAATGGCTTACCTATGATAACGACTGGTACCCTAGGCAGACCGTAGAAGTTTTTACTGGCAGTGACCTCAGTGATGTTATTCTGTATGTACTCGTCGGCTGTCTGTTTAAGCTCCGCCTCTTCAGCAAATTGTCGTACACCTGTATATAGAAGAGTCGAAATGTTACAGGGTATGTCAATATCTTAATTAATGAAATCAACATATACAGGTATGCACATAACATTGATTATCACTTTATTATTTTTGACTACCAAGCAATGATATTTTATTTGATGTTTTTATTTAGCAATATTATTTTTTTTACTATTATCTGCAGTACTTATAACACATGCGTTTACATTCACATCATTCTCAGCAAATACCACAATGGTGTAAGATATGACTACATAATATAACTTGATTACCAGACATTACATAGTCAATATACATCTATATGAAATATACATTGTACATTTGCATCTCATTAAAATAGTTGCTAAATTATCATTTATATGCATAAATTTATAAAAGTTTCAATCATTCATTTATAATCTTGGAGTGAATCCATAAAAAGTCACACGCAAAACTGCCTACATCATTACAACACAGAGTAGGAGGGGTACCATGCTTCCCCAGTAGAGGTCTGTCTACCCAGGTCTGTGAGGCTGCCACCCTTACCGACCAGACCGACCTACTGTATCACAGGGGTTTCTTACACAGGCCTTTTTCTATGTTACCTTTCCATACAATACCTTAAACTAAGCCGTAGAAACCCTACTTTAATACGACAGTCGTCCAAACAACTCAGCAATGCGCATGCAGGCAGCCAATTAATTTCTTGGTATTTTGAAAAGGTTTGAGAATTTATTACTGAATGAAACATATGCCAGCTCAAATTGAGGCATTGCAGGAGTTATCCAACATGAGAAAATGGCCTTGGTATCAAATTATTTCATATGTGATTTCTTTCGTTCCACACGAGAGTGTGCTATCTGAGTGTCATACCAGCACACAAGACGTCTCTTTTATGTCTATCTGAAAGTAAATCTTTGTCATATAACATGGTCATGGCAGGGAATAACACAGAGGGGGGTGTCTATGGGATAGCTTATATTATCACGGCGAAATCAATAAAACATTATTTTGATTTAACCGAGACCAAATTCAAAATTTATATTATTTTATTTTAGCTTCTATTATTTAATAATAAAAAGGAATATTATGTTTTAATACTGAATAACATTCTAAAAAATGGAAAAAAAAATGTCATTCAAGGGATGCTTAGTAAGAAATATAGAAAATAATATACAATAAAATATAATCAAGATTTAAGTTTTTGAATGAAATATGAATTAAGCAAAGAGATTTACTATGTGCATTTTATAATTGTTGGCTTTTAGAATGAAAAGTGAAATGTGTAAAATCATGACTAACTTGAATGAAATTTAAATCGTAAATCTGTTATAATTTAGAACAGAAAAATTTGGTGATAATAAATTTAACTAATGGCTATAATTGCTATCCTTACCATTTATTTATAGGCAGCTTATATGGTGGACAGCTTCATTTTCCTTTGTCATGGTTGGCAAAGGGGCACACAACTCTGTACAACTTGCTATCATAAGAAAGCAAGGGAGGTCACTCAGCCGTAGAACCTGGATTGTGAGGTAGCCCCCATCACTCCCCATCCCCGACCCCCTCAGGCTGGCAGCCCGGGTGTGAGACAGGGAGGGGAGGGTGGGGGAAAGGGGTGGTGAGGGAAGTTGGGATGGAGAAAACAAGACATCATTATAGTCGCTGAAGCCAGAATACCTATACAATTTGCAGACGACATATTAGCGGCCAAGAATTTCGAGCAGGCTCGGGCAGCATCTGGGATTTTCAGTTGGATGGCTGCCCGATACACGGATCGCACATGCTCTCCAGGAACTTCGAGTCTGAAACAATAGCAGATCTCAATCAATATCAAGTTTTACAAGTTTGAAGCAATTATTTCTTTAACTCTAAGCTACATGTGTCAGAAACAAGCTCTTAGGACTCTTTGTCAATTCCCAAACATCCAAACCTCTCACATCCTTAACCATTCTATCTTGAATAAACATAAATATGTTAACGAGAAATTTTTTACCCTTGACTTTCAATGTTTTCATGTTTCTTTATTTTTGCATTGTGAACTGTACCAATTACATTTACTGACAACCCTTGCTAATCAGTTCGTGAGAAACTAATGGTTCTAAATCTGAAGACTTATTTTACAAATCTGATCTTTGATCTTAAGTCCTACAGCCTGTAGGATTTGTTCTTGTTACTTGGTCAATAAATATAACAAGTTTGTTTACATTCCGGTAATTTATTTAAAAGAAATTGATGTTTAAATACCAACTTTTAAAAAGTGACCTTGACATTTGACCTTTACACTCGAGCATAATTTGCTTTTCATATGTGTCATTGCATTTGTTCGCTATTGTTTGAAGGACAACAAACATAACATATTATCTATCCCATGATATTTGTATTCTTATTTTGGTTGATGGACACTACCACACTCCACTTAAAAGAGTTTGTACACACAGCCATAAATATGGACCCTTAATGCTAAACTATTCCTACACTCTAACATCTAATGATTTCATCTGAAGGAACAGCTCAAAAGATGCCATTTAAAAGTGATGTTTTTCCTAAGGGTGTACATACACACATTTTATTTATGCTTTAAATTCTGAGCATGTGTAATCTCCCCCATGGAAATTTTACAAAAGTTGGCAAGTATGAATAAGGTTGATATTATGAATGAACCAGAATTTGTCAACTTAATGTTTTAAAATTTAAACATAAAAGTAGATAAATACTAAACTGCCAATATGATTCTTTACGTTAGTAATCAATTTCCCAAATATAAGGGTGTGTTCCATTTCACGAAGGGATATTGATATCACTAACGCTTCGCTATGCTATCACTGGAATTATGTTCTATTTGTCAAGCAAACATGCAGACCAACCTTAGACAAAGTCTACATACTCTGGACATGGATTTTTGGTTAATATGCTTCACAGCATACACTATACATATCTTTCAACCCGATTCCTGGACATTAAAAAAATCAAGCCAAAGTATTTCTGACCAGCACATAATCATCACATGCTGATAAGAAAATATTGTTGTTTGATTATTAATCTGGTAGATCCAGGTCAAGACAAATTGATTTTACAACAAAAACTGCTACCTCTCCTGGTAAACAAGACTAATGAAAAAAGTCTCAGCATGATTAGCAGATTCTCATTACAACCTATAGATACCACTGTAGTGGTAATTGGGCCGAGAATGTAAGGGCCTTCGTAGCTCTGCCTGTTTCTGATATAAACTGAGCAATATCTCACTGGTTTCATTAACCACTAGAGCAAGTAGCACACCCCTGGCTAATTACAGGAATGCTACGTTCCTGAATGATGTTGGAGAGGAAATCTACGGTAGCATATAAGTCTAGGTAGCATAGAAGTCTAATGTAACCCCCTAAGCTGGCAACTCAGGGAGGATAATCTTGGATAAAACTTTCTAATCCTAATGGGTTTCCTGAATATTGGCAAAGACATGTTGTAATCAAATTTGTAGATCTCTGTATATCAAAAGATCACTAGACCCAATCCATCAACATAAATTATACAAAGGAAAATACAAACGGTAACCTACAGAGAAATGAACATCACTAGCAGCACCATTAAAAGAAAATGTGGAGGCCTTGCAAGATGAGGGTGTTGTAATTATAATGTTTAGGAAGGTGTCCTGCCTTTACATGTATAGGATAGCTTATAATCATTGTCAGTTTAGTAGTACTGCAAACACAGGGTTTTATTAGTATTTTTTACATGTAATTGTGAATCAGTGAATTCAACACAAGACAGACAACAATCTCAATACCATAAATTCAAAACTGGGTGAAGTTGTCTTTCTGGATGCGAGGTTATATTCTACATAACACATTTTATCTGTGATTTCGTGTTGGAGCTATCTCCCTTTAAACTAATTTAGGTATTCACATTTTCAAATAATTCAGAATTACTTAAAAAAAAGCTTGTAGGTGGTAAGACTGTTTGTATGCCTTCCACAATGCAACCAATAAATTGACCTAATCCAATACCATTCACAAACCTAACGGGTCTATTTAAATGTAGAGCTCTTTTGTATAGGAAATGTCATGGTTACTAGTAGCATACTTCTTTAACATTTAAAAATAATACAGAGTGAAATCATGCATAGCTGTATACAGTATGAAAGTATGCCTGCAAATATTTACATTGATTTTTATACCAGTACAAACAGATTTAGTTTCTAACTTCCCATTTTTTGAATTATTTAGAAGCAAAGGGCTGCACACACTATGACAAGGAATTGTCCTAAAAGCTACCTCCCGGTGATCTTATCAGTACACTAAGTCACTATATATAACTGTGTGAATGTGCTCTGTGGAGTTTCGTTTGTGTAGAGCTGTAGCACTAAAGTAACCGTACACAACTTTATGTGGGGCAAACATCTGGAGACATATCAATGTTGATCAATTTAACTGATTGTTTTCATTCTAATTGATCACCCTTTAATGCAACTGAAAGATGACTTTGAATATATATACACTTGCATTTAAATATATAGCAATAAGTTGTATATAATACTAAATAAAAAATAAAGCTTCTATAATTAGTTATGTCTGGTATGTCTTCAGGTTATTATTTATTATTAAATAGAAACTCATTTAGATGATTTATCTTTCTAAATTCACATTATCACCACAACATACAATTTAGTGTGTATGTATTAAAATCTAAACAGATTGCATAATGTTGGAAATATAATTTTCATAGCCTAGTATAGCCATAAACACAATTCCTCAAGGCCCTGCTTATCAAGCTTTAACTCATTCACCCCTGAAGTTTCATAATAAACTATTCCAACTTTTGAAATGGAAGAATTCAAATGTGTCTTCACGGGTGAATGAGTTAACATTATATAAAGAATGACCTTGTCCTGACACGAACACCTACATACTCAATTGACTATCTACAACATTGTCATAAACTCTACAGGTGGATTCAAAGGTCAGCTGAAGACATGAGGAACATGACATTGCATATTTATATTGATGTTCCTACTGTTAGTATACAGACACTAAAAAGACGTTGAAACTTAATTGCCTCTGTATCAATATAAAAGAAACAGTTTGTATATACTTAATATTCTTACTAAGGCAATTAGGTTTTAGGAGTTGGAACAGTTAAAGTTATTCCATGTAATAGCTTCACAAAGGGACCATGCAGTCGGTCTTGAAACGTTGCGATACGTTTAATACATGCAGTACCAGTGTACATGTTTGTGCATGAAGTAAAATTTTGATATTATTCCAAGTAATGTTGCAGAAAAGTATTAATTAGCATAACAAATATCATGATCAGTAAGTCTGAAGATTTTAGCTTTCCTACTTTATAATACAGAAAGAACCCAGGTATCCAACCCTGTGGAAGAAATGCTAAATTGTTTTGAACATTTCTTTTGCACAACTATAGTAAATGGGCAAGCACACCAAATGCAAATTCTTCAACAACAGAGCAACACTGAGCGCTGGAACTCTCTACCTTAACTCATTCACCCCTACATACATTTGGTAAGATTCAAAATGTGACTCACTGGCCTGGGTAAATGCATTTAACACAGATCTGGCATCGGTTTAAAATTTCTATAAAAGGACTATCACACCAACCAGTATAACCAAACTGGGTGACATTTTTTACTTGGCCTTTAAAGGGTTTCTTACCTGGAAGTGTATGCGTAGTCTAGTAGGTAGATAAAGCTATCATAATCAATGTCCTTTAGTTTACATGTACACATGCTGTTTTGTGGTGCTGGGCCTTCCTCTTCCAGCTTCAGGAACAAGTCAAACAGGAAACCACTTGCGGTGGCCAACACCGCCCTGTGAACTGGTACTTCATGGGCACCGATCACCAAAATTTGGTCACAAAGTTGACGTGCCTTGCGCAGCTTGTTTAATGATTCCCATCTATTCTCTTTGTGCTCATCATCCTCAAAAACTAGATCATCCTCGGGGCATTCATCAACCCCATTTACTATATGAGCGTTGTTGTTTTCCATTTTCACTGGTTCATCAGAGATCGTGGCGAGTTAAACAACAGAAGATGGGATGTGTCTGGGTTCCTCAGGTCACTAGTGATTTATCACAGCTGTGGACAAAAACAACACAACCGTCAGTTTCTTCTTCATAATAACAAGTCAAGCTATACTTTTAAAAGGATAAAATAAAAAATTCTTGGGTCTAGATCCGAGGTCTATGACAATTTCAGTAGCTCTAAAAGATATCTGCATTACATAACTCTACTGCTTTAGGTGTTTAATTCCTAAATTTTAAGACTGCATTTTTTGACTAAGCAAGATGTAAGTGTTAAAGCATGTTAAAAACAACAGGGGTCTGGGCTATGACCTATGAGTGTTGAACATTCAAAAGAGCTGAAACCAGGCTAGAAACTAGAACTGTAAGCCAAAGGCTAACTAATACCCCCGCTCCTATATAAACCAGAACTGTGCGTTAAAGGCTTATTTATGCAAATCAATATAGTCTCCCACCAGTAATGAGTTATGGTAATCACTATTTTATTAAAAACAGAAAAATAAAATAATAAGTATTTCGCACAAAGGGGCATTATTACTCCATCAAAAAGGGTTGAAATCCCAAATTAAAATGCCGGTGCACAACTACCTAAGATACCGATCATTCATGCAAAGTTCCAATGAAATTCACCTGTTAGTTAAGGAGGAGTTGCACGGACAAGTATTTTTCACAAAGGGGCATAACTCCATCAAAAAGATTAGAAATCCCAAATTAAAATGCTGCTGCACAACTACATAAGATACTGATCATTCATGCAAAGTTTTAATGAAATCCACCTGTTAATTAAGGAGCAGTTTTCCCAGACAAGTATTTCGCAAAAAGGGGCATAACTCCATTAAAAAAGGGTCGAAATCCCAATTAAAATGTCAGTGCACAACTACATAAGAAACTGATCATTCATGCAAAGTTTCAATGAAATCCACCTGTTAATTAAGGAGGAGTTTTCCGGACAAGTATTTTGCAAAAAGGGGCATAACTCCATCAAAAAGGGACGAAATCCCAAATTGAAATGCCGGTGCACAACTACCTAAGATACCGATCATTCATGCAAAGTTCCAATGAAATTCACCTGTTAGTTAAGGAGGAGTTGCACGGACAAGTATTTTTCACAAAGGGGCATATCTCCATCAAAAAGATTTGAAATCCCAAATTAAAATGCAGGTGCACAACTACATAGGATACTGATCATTCATGCAAAGTTTCAATGAAATCCACCTGTTAATTAAGGAGGAGTTTTCCGGACAAGTATTTTGCAAAAAGGGGCATAACTCCACCAAAAAGGGTCGAAATCCCAAATTAAAATGCCGGTGCACAACTACATAAGCTATTGATCATTCATGCAAAGTTTTAATGAAATCCACCTGTTCGTTAAGGAGGAGTTGCGCGGACAAGTATTTCGCAAAAAGGGGCATTACTCCATCAAAAAGGGTCAAAATCCCAAATTGAAATGCCGGTGCACAACTACATAAGATACTGATCATTCTTGCAAAGTTTCAATGAAATCCACCTGTTAATTAAGGAGGAGTTACTGCAGATGACAGACAGACAGACATCCAGACAGGGTGATTCCAGAATACCCCCCCTAACTTCGTTGCGGGGGTATAATGAGTGATAGGACGGGCCAGAGTCTAGAGCTGAGACCAGACCAGAAATGATTGTTAGGACAGGCCAGAGTCTACAGAGGTGAGACCAGACCAGAAATGATTGTTAGGACAGGCCAGAGTCTACAGAGGTGAGACCAGACCAGAAATGAGTGTTAAGATAATAGGCCAGAGTCCACAGAGCTGAGACAAGGCCAGAAATGAGTGTTAAGATAGGCCAGAGTCCACAGAGCTGAGACCAGACCAGAAATGAGTGTTAGGACAGGCCAGAGTCTACAGAGCTGAGAAAAGGCCAGAAATGAGTGTTAAGATAGGCCAGAGTCCACAGAGCTGAGAAAAGGCCAGAAATAATTGTTAAGGATCCCTGTCACACTTCAGGTAAAACATTAGAAAATTGCATTGTGGTTCCAATAACCTCTCTGCAATTTCATTTTAGATCAAAATTTAGTACAGTTGGGCAAGCAGTCTTCCATTGACAAGGTACATGTATGTAGCTCATGACCGCTGGTTAATGCCACAATATAAGAATCTAAAGGTCCAGGGTTCAAATACAGGTCTGAACTTGCTAAAAATAATTTTCAACCAGATCGCCACTACTGTTGTTTATTATATCTTGTATATATTTCATCTCTATTGATTTTTAATTTAAGTCCCGAAAGGTATTGTCTTATTTACAGAAATGATTTATCAACGATGCAGTCTTATCACATTTTTTTTTTTAAGTGGTTATTTAAGTTTTTACCAATATGGCACGGGTATCCTTAAGACATGCCACTGTCCACAGGGCTACCACAACGCTACCACAGGGCTACCACAGGGCTACCACAGGGCTACCACAGGGCTACCACAAGGCTACCACAGGGCTACCACAGGGCTACCACAAGGCTACCACTGGGCTACCACAAGGCTACCACAGGGCTACCACAGGGCTACCACAGGGCTACCACAAGGCTACCACAGGGCTACCACAGGGCTACCACAAGGCCAGTAATTAGTGCTATAAACATACAGCAATGCATTGGTCCTGCCTGTGTAATTATTGATGAAGTGTTTAATTATAGAACAGGTTAGGTAACATATCGACACCTAACACAAGCAATCAATACCAGGTGTATGGGTATCTAAAGCACAGTTCCCACATACAGACAATACAAATCACTACAACAGGACAAATCACAGCCACAACCAGCATTTGTTTCTGTGCTAGCTGTCATAACGAAATACATATTGTATGAACAGTGGATTCTGTTTCAAAATATAGCTTAGGGGGCTTTTAAACACCAGTTCTCAAATGGAAGGTGTTTTTCAGCTGGAGTAATCGAAGTTTACAACAAATACTAGTTTTGGAAAAATAACTGGTCACAGCCAATCAGATCAATGAGAAAGGTTATATCCAAGTGTACGTGTACATCCTGTCATTGTTATTCAAATTTAGATGTGAACCCTGAGCAAAGCATTAAGTTAAGAGACAGGATCATCTCGCTGATCCATTATTTTAACCAATCCTTCGAAAACAACTCTGCTGCCAAATCAATCCCAGCCCACCAATCAATCAGTAACTCGGACCCAACAGCGAAACCTTTACCCAACAGCAGGCACTGTCAATAATGATACAATCAAATGTTGATTAGCCATAAAAGGATGATTAACATATATATATATAATGACTAATGAGGAATAATATGAAATGGATTCGTTGGGACGGTTTTGCTTGTAATGAAACATAATTTGCCTTAGTGATGTTTTAGTTTAGTATCGGAGCATCTGAATAAGAGCTGTAACCTTCGAAGTAAAATTCACACTACATATCCTATAATACAGCAGGAAAGGGGGAGGTTGTTAAGGCTGCCATCACTGGAGCACAATGTAGGGAGGGAATGGGCTAATAAACAGAAACCCTTCCTAAGCTTGGAGACAAGGCCGTAAAACAATCTCAGCCTTGTGTCTGCCCTCCATACATATTCAGATCAGAAAGGAATGGGGAAACCATATATACAAGCCTATATTCTTCTCCATACTCTATCAGTAGGCCAGACAATTGTTAGATATATACCATCAGTACTGCCAGTATATATATATATACCACATACATATGTAGCAAGTCACCTACAGTATAGAGTTAAACTTTCATTCAAAATTAAACTTCATATCCAATAAAATGGCAGGGAAGGAGCTTGAGGATGTTTCTTAGGCTCCATGTCTTCACCCTGCATACCCAGTACAATGTAGGGAGAGAGTTGGCTGATACTCAGTACCAGGCCAGACGCTTTAGATCTGTACCATCAGTACTGACAGCTGTATATATCGCATACCAAGTCGCCTACAGTACAGAAGTAACCCTGATGATACCAGTCACAGGAATCTGTGCACTCCCCCCACCAGGACAAGAGACGTGGGTGTAACTGTCGACCTACCATACCACCCATACCACCAACTGGCACCACTCATTAGTGCAGGGTATTACCTACTGGCAAATTACTGTGTACACTTAATTCCAAGTCAGAGATCGTCAGGTACTACTTTTTATTTCAAGGTACTCATGATCATGATCATTGAGTGTCTGACCTGGCTCCAACATGGCCTAGAAATCAGCCATACCCATACCAGGGATCTCATTCAATAGAGAGAGACATGAACATAGATACCACAATAATTATGTACTTTTGGGATCAAATTCATAGTAAAAAATCTCCAATTATTTCTAAAAGTTGTTTACTTATTTATTTCGAGTTCCCAAATCTAAAACATCAGAATTTTTGGTAGTGCTTATTTGCTGTATATAGACACACCTAAATGGGACAATCCTCAATAGGTATAATGCTTCAGACCAGCAGACAATGACAGGAGGCCACCACACACCAATGGTGCGAGGACAATGACAGGAGGCCACCACACACCATTTGTGCCAGGACAATGACAGGAAGCAACCAAACACGAATGGTATCAGTACAATGACAGGAGGCCACCAAACATCAATGGTTCCAGGGCAATGACAGGAGGCCACCAAACATCAATCGAAACACCATTGGTGTCCAGACAATGACAGGAGGCCACCAAACACGAATGGTATCAGTACAATGACAGGAGGCCACCAAACATCTATGGTTCAAGGGCTATGACAGGAGGCCATCAAACATCAATCGAAACACCATTGGTGTCCGGACAATGACAGGAGGCCACCACACACCAATGGTGCCAGGGCAATGACAGGAGGCCACTAAACATCAATGTTACCAGGACAATGACAGGAGGCCACCACACATCAATGGTGCCAGGGCAATGACAGGAGGCCACCACACACCAATGGTGCAAGGGCAATGACAGGAGGCCATCAAACACCAATGGTGCCAGGGCAATGACAGGAGGCCATCAACCATCAATGGTTCCAGGGAAACGACAGGAGGCCACCACACACCAATGGTGCCAGGACAATGACAGGAGCCCACCAAACACCAATGGTGTCAGGACAATGACAAGAGGCCACCAAACATCAATGGTGCCAGGACAATGACAGGAGCCCACCAAACACCAATGGTGTCAGGACAATGACAGGAGCCCACCAAACGCCAATGGTGCCAGGACAATGACAGAAGGTCAACACACACCAATGGTGTCAGGACAATGACAGGAGCGCACCAAACACCAATGGTGCCAGGATAATGACAGGAGGCCACCACACACCAATGGGGTCAGGATAATGACACGAGGCCACCAAACATCAATGGTTCCAGGGCAATGACAGGAGGCCACCACACACCATTGGTGCCAGGACAATGACAGGAGGTCACCAAACACCAATGTTGCCAGGACAATGACAGGAGGTCACCAAACACCAATGTTACCAGGACAATGACAGGAGGTCACCAAACACCAATGTTGCCAGGACAATGACAGGAGGTCACCAAACACCAATGGTATCAGTACAATGACAAGAGGCCACCAAACACCAATGTTACCAGGACAATGACAGGAGGTCACCAAACACCAATGGTATCAGTACAATGACAAGAGGCCACCAAACATCAATGTTACCAGGACAATGACAGGAGGCCACCAAACACCAATGGTGTCAGGACAATGACAAGAGGCCACCAAACATCAATGGTGCCAGGACAATGACAGGAGGCCACCACACACCAATGGTGCCAGGACAATGACAGGAGGCCACCACACACAAATTGCACCAGGACAATGACAGGAGGCCACCAAACACAAATTGTACCAGGACAATGACAGGAGGCCACCAAACACCAATGGTGCCAGGACAATGACAGGAGGCCAACACACACCAAAGGTGCCAGGACAATGACAGAAAGTCACCACACACTAATGGTGTCAGGACAATGACAGGAGCCCACCAAACACCAATGGTGCCAGGACAATGACAGGAGGCCACCACACACCAATGGTGTCAGGATAATGACAGGAGCCCACCAAACATCAATGGTGCCAGGGCAATGACAGGAGACCACCACACACCAATGATGTCAGGTTAATAACAGAAGGCCACCACACACCATTTGTGCCAGGACAATGACAGGAGGCCACCAAACACCAATGGTGCCAGGACAATGACAGGAGGCCACCAAACATCAATGGTTCCAGGGCAATGATAGAAGGCCACCAAACACCATTTGTGCCAGGACAATGACAGGACGCCACCAAACACCAATGGTGCCAGGGCAATGACAGAAGGCCACCAAACATCAATGGTTGCAGGGCAATGACAGAACGGGATCAAACATCAATGATGCTAGGACAATGGCAGGAGACCACCAAACACAAGTGCTGCTAGCATCAATAGGTTATGTTATGTAACACAGGACAACTGGATCCCATCAAGCACTAATGGATCAGCTATAATTAATAAGTAATACTGTTGGCAATAACAAATGCCATTTCCCAACCCCACAGAAGGGTTAATAAATGATGCATGAAGAGTGATCAAAGGGTCAGGGTATAGAATGATTTTTAAGTGTCTGTATGCTGACACTGTAACAGAATGCTGTGATCTTTTGTCAAGCATGAAGCAATATTCAGTCTCAATGAATAGAAACATCTTTGTTGTACAATGCAAATGATACTATATCTATAAATATTAAATGAGAAACAAGGAGCTATAGAAAATCTTGAAACTTCAATGCTGAGCAAATGTAAATATAATGTTCTGCCATTCACAATACAATGTGAAACTAAATGTGAAACTAAATATTTACTGAACAAACCAGGAACTTGTTTTATTTCTGGTGGCATATAAAGAGCTAGTTTATGATTGAAGTGGAGGTGACCGCATATAAGTAATTATCTCTGCGAGAAAATTGCCCCCCCCCCCCCCNTTGGTTTTAAAAGGTTTAATCATATATACATTTTATAACATGGTATTCACATTCCAAAATGAAACAGTTTTGAATGACTTTGAATTTGGTTTTAAAAGGTTTAATGTCCTATCTTCAGCTAAGGCTAAGACTAAAAACTTCTACAAATAGGACAAAACAATACAGCATGAATACCCAACCCAACAGCACGAACAAAGTAATACTTTAGGTTCTTTACAATTTGTCTTGTGATTTTCTATGTAACTGATCATATGTTTACATATACACAGCTTACCTGTTGCGAACTTGTAAAATCATTTCAATAGTAATAATAGTAAGAGATACCTCACCTTTCTTTTCCGTAGCTGTCACAATTTATCACACCTAGTTTAGTCCACAAATAGCTACGATAGATCTATAGATCTGGGATCAGTAAGTGTTCACAACTCTGACATGCAGCCTGCATCACACATCCTTCCCCGCCCACACGACATCTACCACATCAATACACCTGGCAGGAAAAACTCTGGACTTCTAAGTCGTCGTGTTTCTGGTGAACTGTCGGAACTAACAACATGTGTCTCAACTCATGGTACACACAGACTTCCACTTACTCATTACCGCAGACACTAAGGACCATCTAGTTACCACAAACAACCGGTCTAGTACATACACAATTACCGGGGTGCAATATAGGGAATGATACCTAGTAAAAGGGGCAGTAACTGTGTCATAAATACTTTCAGTTCTCCAGATGTACATGCACATAACATAAAAATGATTAAGGTTAAGCCAACCATGGCTCATTCAAACATATTATATTGACATTAAACATTCAAAGGGATGAGGCACAAGTTCTTACAACATACAAGGCCCTCTCCCATGGTTCAATAATAAAAGTAGTAACTGTAAGGCAAGCATTTCAAAATTAGCGACACAATAGAATCTGTTTTCGCAGTGTGCAATATCAATCTACCTTTTTTTAGTGTTAATAGTGTGTCTGTAAAGTGAATGTACTCCATAGCTGAATTAACCAAGTACACTTCCTTACAGATAACACACATGTATATATTTCTATGCCATTGCCTTATCATGAACCTAAGAAGTTAAATTTGTATCACAATATCCATTCTACTGTTTTTCAAAATGGCTCTCATCCTAATGCAAATAAAAACATTGTGGGTTTTTTCTGTTTTGTTCATTACTCCAAAAAAAAGTTAATAATATAACTTTAATTTTTTTTTTAATTCTCTAGCCCAGTAACTAAGTGTGAGGTGTATAATATAATCTTTTTATGTAGGTAGTCTGGTTCGTATCATATCATTCAACATCATACATAAACACCCTTATTAAATTCTGGCAAGGAAATTTCGAAATCTTTCATTCCATATATACTAAGGGTGGCTATTATGTATGAAATCATATATACACATCATGCACAGCTCAATGTCTAGACATGAAAATGGACTTCCATTTATACAAATCAGACTAGCTTTTATTGTATAGATATACCAACGCAGCGGTAAACAGTATATAATCCAATATCTTGTAGAACCAAAACATCCACACGATAATATTTACCTACCAATAAGGAGCAACCAACCACTGATAAGGAGCCATGCACTAACTAACCAGAGTTGACAATAAGGAGCCACCAAGCATCTACTCACTTGACTGACCAGGATCGGAGCCACCAAGCAGATTTACCTGACTGACCAGGAGCTCGAGCCACCAAGTAGACTGACCAGCAACCAGCAAGCACAAATTTACCTGACTGTCAATGAACCACCAAGCACAGATTTACCCAAATGACCAGCAATCGCCAAGCACAGATTTACCTGACTTACAATTATCCACAAATCACATATTTACATGACTGACAATGAGCCACCAATCAGACTTACCTGACTGACAATGAGCCACCAATCAAGGATTTACCAGAGTGACCAGCAGCCACCAATCACAGACTTACCTGAGTGACCTGGAGCCACAAAGCACTGACTTGCCTGAGTGAACAGCCACAAAACAAAGATTTACCTGAGTGACTTTGAGCCACCAAGCACAGACTTACCTGAATGACCTGGAGCCACCAAGCACTGACTTACCTGAGTGAGCAGCCACAAAACACAGATTTACCTGAGTGACATTGAGCCAACAAGCAAAGACTTACCTGAGTGTCCAGCCACCAAACACAGATTTACCGGAGAGAGCAGCCACCAAGCACAGACTTACCTGAGTGAGCAGCTATGAAGCACAGACTTACCTGAGTGAGCAGCTATTAAGCACAGACTTACCTGAGTGAGCAGCTATGAAGCACAGACTTACCTGAGTGACCAGCAGCACCACAAAGCACTGATTGGTTGGACATATACAATTGTACCAGACTGATGGGAAACCAGAAGACACTGCCTCACACTTTTACTAACACTCTCACTGTCCGTAACACTCGAGTCGAGGCTAGTGACTGTATTAGTTAGATCAATGGTCAGTGACTTTTTGTGACTTCGCCTTTCAAAGTAACCTGTTCACTTTTCATTGTGACAATATCTACCAATGTTCCACAGGGACTAGTGTGTATACATTATGTATGTACCTTTGGCTACAGCTATAAGTCTGTATACAGGCTTATGTTTTATTAACTAGGTCAATACCTTGCAATCTTGCCAATACACAATCTCAGTAACAGAGCAATGACATGGAAGTTCAAACATTGCGTCTGATAAAATACAAGAGGCAAACGTAGGCATTTTAAAACTAATGACACAATAATAGAACCCCTGTTCAAAGTAAATATCTTTACATGTAGTGTATGTAATGAAAGTATCCTAGACTGAATTAATTAAATTGTCTCTATAAGATATATTTACACATTATATGTTCTGAAAAGCTGTACAGGAAGTTTAAATGATCCATATAAACTGTATATGTTATCACTAGCACTTACAGCTAACTGTAGCATTCCATTTATAGAAGGACAAAAGAAAATAATACACATGCTGAACTTTGTGTTAAGAAAGAATTAAAAAATAACAATGTTTTTCAAATGACCTAGTTGAAGACTAAGAGTTTGTGTTGACATTTTGGTAATTAAGGTCCCTGTCTGGACAACAATGATAGTCAAGTTGTTACAAATACAAAACATGGCAAGTTAACCTGACATACAATGGTCTACTTAAACAGAGTCAGACAAACCAGGACAGGTTAACCTGACATACAATGGTCTACTTAAACATAGTCCGACAAACCAGGAAAATTCACCTGACATACAATGGTCTAGTTAAACAGAGTCAGACAAACCAGGACAAATTAGCCTGGTATACAATGGTCTAGTTAAACAGAGTCAAGACAAACCAGGGCAATTTATCTGAAATACAATGGTCTAGTTAAACAGAGTCAGACAAATCAGGACAAGTAAACCTGACATACAATGGTCTAGTTAAACAGAGTCAGACAAACCAGGACAAGTAAACCTGACATGCAATGGTCTACTTAAACAGACAAACCAGGACATGTAAACCTGACATACAATAGTCTACTTAAACAGAGTAAGACAAACGAAAACAGGTTAACCTGACATACAATGGTCTACTTAAACAGAGTCAGAAAAACCAGGACAAGTTAACCTGACATACAATGGTCTAGTTAAACAGAGTCAGACAAACCCGGACAAGTAAACCTGACATACAATGGTCTACTTAACCAGAGTCCAACAAACCAGGACAGGTTAACCCGACATACAATGGTCTACTTAAACATAGTCCGACAAACCAGGACAATTCACCTGACATACAATGGTCTAGTTAAACAGAGTCAGACAAACCAAAACAGGTTAACCTGACATACAATGGTCTAGTTAAACAGTCAGACAAACCAGGACAAGTAAACCTGACATGCAATGGTCTACTTAAACAGACAAACCAGGACAGGTAAACCTGATTTACAATGGTCTAGTTAAACAGACAAACCAGGACAAGTAACCCTGACATACAATGGTCAAGTTAAGCAGACAAACCAGCACAGGTTAACCTGCAATACAAAGGTCTAGTTAAACAGAGTCAGACAAACCAGGACAAGTAATCCTGACATGCAATGGTCTACTTAAACAGACAAACCAGGACAGGTAAACCTGATTTACAATGGTCTAGTTAAAAAGACAAACCAGGACAGGTTAACCTGACAAACAAGTGTCTAGTTAAAAAGACAATTCAGGACAAGTTAGCCTTGTATACAATGGTCTAGTTAAACAGACAAACCAGGACAGGTTAACCTGACATACAATGGTCTACTTAAACATAGTCAGACAAACCAGGACAAGTAAACCTGACATACAATGGTCTACTTAAACAGACAAACCAGGACAAGTAAACCTGACATACAATTGTCTACTTAAACAGACAAACCAGGACAGGTAAACCTGATTTACAATGGTCTAGTTAAACAGACAAACCAGGACAGGTTAACCTGACAAACAAGTGTCTAGTTAAAAAGACAATTCAGGACAAGTTAGCCTGGCATACAATGGTCTACTTAAACAGACAAATCAGGACAAGTAAACTTGGTATACAATGGTCTAGTTAAGCAGACAAACCAGATGTCAAGTTAGCCTGGCATACAATGGTCTAGTTAAACAGACAAAACAGATGTCAGGTTAGCCTGGCATACAATGGTGTAGGTTAACTTGATAATTTACTCTCAAGTGAGCTTAACAAATGGAACCATTTGGTACAGGTAACCCTTGCAAATTTCTTAAGCGTTATCCTGACAAACAATGGTCTTAAGCTTGTTGGCCTACCAAATGTCATATCCTAACAAACACCAGCAATTGACACAGTAAGTGTTTGTAGTTATAACAAGCACCATAAATAACGCAGGCATATGAAAACAAGGAGAAATTAGCCAGGTGGCATAGGACTAGTAGTTAGTGCCTGATAAGGCAGCTCCTGCATATTCCTCAAAAAATTGTATTGATTAATGTATATGCTAATTGTACTGATTGTATAAATTGTACTGTAAAGTGCTTTAGAGTGGCTTATTTTAGCTAGATAGGGCGCCTTATAAAATGTTGTATATTATCATAACTATTATCAAAACAATTTTATTTCCTTGATGTTTACAGATTTTGTTTTATTTTGCCACATTTTTTTTTTAGAAAGAATACTACTAAGTAACAAATGTGCTAGTTCTGAACTCTGACAAAGCACTTAAACACTATGCCCCACCCAGGATAATTAATTTCTGGCTAATAATTATGTGTAAGCTCCTTAATAAGCTTCCACGAGGAGTGGTGTCTTGGCTCTAGTTGATTAGCCTGCAGCTGTATGGCATCCTGACGCAACATATACCATGCAAGTGTGATCGAAAATCAATCACTAAAGCTCTAAGACAGTGGCTTCAGCTGGAACGCAAGGAATTATAAGGTACATGCGCACTATATATACAATAGGAATTGTTTACCACGTTATATTTTCTACCCTTTTCATCGCTGAATGAAGAAGGTGAATTTAACAAAGAATGAAGAGTTATAGATAATGATATAAATGTACAGCTGCCTCAATCACTCCATTCTCTCACAGATTGGACAGTTTTTGGCCGTTCTCCTATACACAGACTAATCATTGACCAATAGATCAAACATTCAGACATTTTATGA